CTTCAAATAAAATATTTAAAATACTATTACAAGTAGTTTCTATTATTCATAAAATTATAAAATATTATAAGTTTCTTCTAAGGTAGTATTACTAAATACATTGCAACTTGCCATTTTTTTTAAAAAAACTAAATCAATCATGATGATCTTCATCTTTATTACATTGTCTTGAAAGTTATGACAATTGTAATGTATTATTTATTTTTCTATTATAATACAACCATTAGGTGAAAGAAAAAAAATATTATGTTATACATGAGCTTAAGTGAAAATATTATAATAATTGTTTTTAAAAGTATAGATAATAGGTGAAGAGGCAATAAAAATTAATAAGTACTAATGCTATCTTTTTATAAAAAAGACTACTATTTTCTTTATAGAACCATAAATATGGTTAATCAAATAAATAAAAAAAATTAATTGATATAGGAATCTTTAGAAAAGAATTAAGAATATTTTTTAGCAATATTAATTTTTAAAAAAATCAAGAATTAATATCTGAAAAAAAATCAATTATAGACAAATATCAAAATTAGATTCTAAGGCACAAAATCATGAACTTATGGCATTTCAAAGGATCTTTTCTTAATCAAAGAGCAATTCCTGAGAATAAACTACAATCAAGCTTTTTAGGCACTTATTTAGAATAATTTGACTTTATATTAATTTTGTAAAGACTTTATAATGTTAGGATTATTTTTTTAGCATTTTTTTTCATCCCAAGATATTCACTATCTTATATGGATTATGAAGAGATATATAGAATATAGGATGAATTTTTATAGACTATAATAAGTCTAATTTATATACAATTTAATTGATATTTTTACAAATAAAAAATGGTCTACGGCTATAGTGTTATAATTTGTAACAAATATTTTATATTACAACAATGTTATCATATTTTTTAGAAAATTTGGAATTGAAGTTATTCTTTATGATAGACATATGAATTAATTATTTATTATTTTTAAGTTTTTTTTAATTGTGCTTTATTATTATATATAACTTTGATAAGCAATTTATTAAATCTTCTTTTGTATGATTCTTAACATTCAATGAGTTAAAAATATAAAATTATGGATAATAACCATGCTCAACAAGAAAAGATGTTTGTTGAGTAGAGGAATGTACTATGTTATTATGAAAAATAACTTAGTCAATAGCAAAAGAATTATTTAGTAATTTTAATGGTAATTGATACTACATTGCAAATAATGCTCCAATACTTGATTCACTTGTTCCGTTCGTTTATTAAATTGAAGATAAAAGCAAAAGATAATTTTATATCTACCTTCACTATCTTGAAAAAGATTCTTCAAAAGATTGATTTAGATTTGATTCATCTATTAGATATAATATTCTTTGGCAATCCATGATATTGATAAATATTATTCAAAAAAAAAAAATTGCTTCTTTACATTTAATAGATTTTGTATATAATAAAAAAATTTCCATCATTGTGAAATAATCTACTATTTCAAATATAAAATCATAGAAACTTGAGATTGGAAGATTTATGAAAAAAATCTAAGAAATAAAAGATTGTAGTTGTTTTATTATAGGTAGTTATTGAAAAAGTCTATAAGATTGATGAAAAAGAATTTTTGATCCTCAACAAACATCACTTAATTGTACAAAGACTTTAATTGCCTCTTGTATTTGAAGCCACCAAAAATCTTATGATATTAATTCCAAGGTCTTATTATATTTAAAATGTTGTATAAATAGAAAGTTATGACAAGCTTGAAGAGTTCATAGTTATATTCCATCTTTTCAAACATATATTGGCATTCTTCAAAATAGATTGGTTTATTTTTAAATTCAAATTTAGAAGTATTATAAAATTTAGAAAAATTATTCTTAATATTATAAACAAAAAAAAATCTAAAGACATACTTCATTAAATTTGCTTAAAAATAATTAAATTAATAATCAATGTTGATTTTATTATTCAAAGAAAAAATTACTTTGACTTCAAGTTAATTATTTAATATTAATTAATATTTTTATTTTTTTAGTATAAGATAAAAATATATAAAAAAGGTATTTAAAAAACCTTATTATTTTTGTAGTTGATATGTAAAGTTAAATTCAAATCTTAACAAAGACATGTTTTAATAGGCTTTTTGGTAATTTAAAACATGTATTTACATAAAATACTTAAGGTTCTTATAATATATATAAATAATTATTGGACATAAAATGCCTTCCAAATAATGATGCCATTCTTGAAATAAACCTAGAATTGCAAAAAATTCAATATCATAGAACTTATATTTGATTTCTATTCCTATAATTTTTTTTAAAATAAAAAGAAATAAGATGGAAAGTGCCATCTTTTCTTTTTTATAATAATAATACACCTAATGCAAAGTCTAATGTATTTATTTCTATAAATAATATCTTTAAGAAGTTGATATAATATAAGATTGATATAGAAATAAAAGTTTCCTTCAAAGCTTTAAATACTTGTTGAGCTTCTTTATTACACTTAGGTTTGTATTTATAAGTCAAATATGTAAAAATAGCTATAATTTAAAAAATAATTATGATAAAAATTTAAAAATAATTACCAAATTTTAAAAAATATTATATATCATTTCTTATTTTTTGAATCTTCTATTTTGTAATAGCTAGAATTTTTTTAGAATCCATCATAAGGCCATTATTTAAAATGATGTATTTTAAAAATTCAATATAAATAATATGTAATTTATAATTTTTTATATTGATATATAATCTTGCATCTCTAAGTTTTTGTAACACATGAAAAATATATAGTGTATGATTTTTTATGTTTTTAGAATAGATTAAAATATCATTTAGATAATAAGTAATAAAATTACTCAAAAACTTTCAAAAAAATTATTCATTAGATGTTGAAAAGGAACTAGCATATTTGTTCATAGACCCCAAAAGGTATAATCAATAAGCAATATAATTGATTTATTTACAAATAGGAAAAGATCCAAGACTATGATAGTTGAACTTATCAGAATGATGAGTAGTCTTGATATTACAATAAAATAACCATGCCTTATCATATACATTGAATTATGGTTATTTCTTATAATAGATATTAGCATTGATCTTTTGTCATTCTTAAGCTTCTTTTAACTATGCCTTCATTGTTCCATGTGGCTCTAATAAACAATTTGTCAAATCTTCTACTATAAGATTATTAACTTTTAAAAAGTCAAAAATATCAAGTCATAGATAATAATTATAATTAGTAAAAAAAGTATTTATTGACTAAAAGAATGTACCAAATTATTATACACAAACTCTACTAATGGCAAAAGAATTGTACAATATACTTCAAATATTGCTCTAAAACTTAATCTATCTATTCTATTTATCTATCAATTTAAGGATGAGAAGCCAAAGAGAGCTTTATATCTACCTTTAAAATCTTGAAAAGAATTCTCCAAAATCTTGATTCAAATTGAATCCACTTATTTGATATTATATCTTTGAGTAATCCATAATAGCAATGGATATTGTCAAAAAAACTTGGTCGTTTTTTGTCATGTGATAGATTTTGAACATTGTACAAAATGTGTCATTTTGATAAAATAATCTACTATCATAAGTATAGAATCATATAAACCTAAGATTGAAAGATCTATAATAAAATCCATAATAAAAAAACAGAAGAGTGAAGAATATGTCAGATGAATATTTTCCAACTCGCAGGGGACGACAACAGGGGTCCTAGCCCTCGTGTAACAACCTGATACCTCCCCTGAAATTAATCACAGTGCCAACTCAAGAGTGTTGGATTGGTACCATCCCGACGGGTACAAAGCAGTGGTACTCATGAACCCCAATCCCCTTAATGTCTCAAGTGTATATCCTTGGGAATTTTTTACCTGCGAGCAGTGGTGGTATTCAAACATCCCATGTTCATGGGAATGTTGGCTGAATCACTGATGGGCCTTGAACAGCCCAAGTAGCCAGAGAGCCCTCTGGGCGCCTCATCACTCCATAATGGTACCCCAAAGATCAATTTTGCTTTAAGATTGGTGTTCTTAAATTAAGTCACACTTCGTAGCATAAGTGGGGTTGATCATAACTTGGACGTACTTCTGAACTACTTAGGTAAGTAATCAATTAATCAGCATTAAGCTACATGGTGATGCAATTCTAATGCCGTGCCATTTATTCCTTCAAGTTGCTATACATTGCATCAGGCATTGTATGCAGATCCTAGGTGATCTACGGCAAACTGTTGTCACAGATCTCTTCTCTCGACACGGATAACGGAATATTCTCCGTATTGTTTCCAAAGCGTGCCTGGCCCCATGGATGAACATGCATGAACTTGGGGTTACCCTAGAAGTAATTAAACAGGGGTGATTCCTCATTCTTCTCAGGGGTTAAAGTACAGAAATGTGCGAGCTGTCTTATTAAGCCTTTTGTACAAAAGTTGTATGGGGATTGGTACTCGTAGCGTACCCTCAAACTGGCTCAGTCATGTAGCTCAGCCAACTTCCTCATCATTTTAGTAATCTTCAGTAATTTCTTCACTTCTGCAATGAACATGGAATTCAATGCTGTAGCTGGGGTCCTGGGTAGATTGCTAAAAGTAGCGCAAATCCGGATAGTTTTAATCCTTGAATAATCCTCATGTTAATTCCACGAGAAGTACGTCGTCCACAGTTTGAGTGGGATTGATGTCTCAGCGAGACGCTGTAGGTGATGGTTTAGTTGGCACTGACTCAATGTGTTGGGGGTTCCACCTAAATCAACCTTTGCGGCTCACGCTGGCTCCCCTCCACGATCTCTGGATATTTTTTGGAGCATCTTCCTTTTGAATTTCTTGTGGCCATGACAACGCTAGGTATAAGTATTGTGGTTCCCCAATCTAGTTTAGTTTAGTAAGCAAATAGAAACTGCTGGCGATCGTATCAATATTTTCGTGATTTTAAGTGGTTTTTGTGACTTTCTGCACGAAGACAATATGTATCTGAGCTTAAGGTGACGTGAAGGTACGCGGAGCCCCTTGATTAGGTGATAATTTTTGGTTTACTGAGGACATTGTAAGTGTATACCAAGCTGCTCATGATGTCGTCCAAGTGCCTCTTTCTGAAAGCAGAGTTTCTTCAGTTTTGCAACCTGCAGCTCAATCCCATAGTCAAGGATAGCGACTGCTTTTCGTAGGCAAAAACACCCCAAACATCGTAGCTATTAAGCTTTGTTCCTGTTCCAACCTCTGGAAGCAAGATGTTGCTGCGTCGGCACAGCGCCTTTGAAGGTTGATTAGTGAGAGAGTATTAGATAGTTGCTGCTCTGTCGGTGTCGTTCGGTCCGACGATTTTCACCGATCGGAAGGTGTTGGTCAAGCTTCTACACGAAGTTGTTGTTCGGGGAAGCTAGTCTACCTTGCAGGTAATTTGTAGACAGGAGAATAAGTCTCTCAATTGAAGAGCTAGGCGTTTCAAAGGAACTGAGAGAAGTGAAGTACAGGAGGGTTCAGAGTTTCAGTCACTTGGGGAGACAGCCTTGACGTTACTACTTGCAACAGATGAAGGTGGTGGGGGCCTGTGCCCATTAGTCACCAGCTTTGGCACATGAGAATCTAAGTGGCCAGTCTTGCTTGCACTATCGACAAACCTCCTATGTCTCTGTCCTTCAGATTCTTCACGCAACTGTTGGCTTCTTTGTCTCAGAATTTGTCGACGGACAAATATGCAAGGATCGATAGATCAGTCTCCTCTTAAGCTCACTTTCACTGAGCACTCGGTTTTCTTGGAAGACCTTGTAGTTCGTCAGTTCGCCTTCCTGAAGCTTGTCAAGTGCAAAGGCGCAGGAGTAAGCTTCAATTAGTGAACACTCGTTTTGAACTTTATGCATGTTTGATAGTTTCATGAATCTACTTGTGCGCTAGTAGTCGCGCACCAAAGACTTTTTGGGAGACGCTGAAAAATTAGTACTATTCCGCTACAGTCTAGCTATGGTGTGGACGAGCGTGTAAACATTTTGATTTGTATCAGCAATATGTAAACACCCCATTCTTCTAATGCCTCAGTTCTCGTCCTCGGATTAGTGGGGTTTGAGAATATTTTCCTGGATCTGGAAGTCTGGTAATATTTTTCTGATCATCAGCAGTGATCCGGAGCTTTTAAATTTATTTCACACTTTCATAAATCCATGATTTGGATTCCCATTCCATGGATTCCCATTCCAGCACGCTCGTATAAAACGCTTACGCCGGTTGATCTCGCAGCAAGGACTACAGGACACCATGAGAGCAGCAAGTTTCTGCAAGGGAGTGCTAGATGAAGAGTGGTACACGCCCGAAACCTCTCTCATGGAGTTGTCTTCGTGCTCGTCCCCTTATGGGGCACAAGATGCTCGGTCAAATTTCAGCTTGCTCGACTCCTCCCTGAATTATGACAACGACAAGCTCATGGCCAACTTCCGCCCCGCCCCGTCTGGTACTTTAGGCATAGGCCAGCCCGAGAGAAACTGTATCCTTAGTGATCTCGCATGCACTGGCCAGAGCTCGAGTGTTGGCCTCGTCTCAAGTATTTCTCTAGGTCTTTAAGCAACCATGCATACTTCATCCCGTATGTCCACAGAGGAGTCGTTTGAGGTAGATGTAACCACTCGCGGAGGTGACTTGCTTGTTGGCGAGACAGTTCCACCTCCCATAGATCGAGGAGAGGCTGCACGCTTTTGTGAAAATGCCTGCTGTAACTCTCCATGCGCTTGTTTGTCTGATATGGCTCAAGCTTGTCTCTGATGTCGCCAGCGCATTCTTTCCCAGTCTTGTCTAGGTCAAATGCTGGTGCGTTCTATGCATCTGAAAATGAAGGTGGGAAGTTTGTGCGCTCTGTATTGGTGTTGCTGCTGGTGATGTTACTTAGGCTTCCACTCGGGATTACCGCTCCCTGGCTGAAGCTTGTCGGCAAGCCTGAGCCGAGGATGTCCATTGTGGTGCTTCGGCGAAGATGCCTGCCTGCAAAATCCCAACACGTCGCATCGTATCTAGATGCTGTATGATGGTTGCACACATTAGAGGTTACGATTTTCTATAAGGTTCCAGTGACACTTTCAAAATTGGGTATGGCCAACAGATGGACAGAGCCTCCATACTCGGTGACGCAATTGAGTACCTGAAGGAGCTCCTACAGCGCATCAACGACATTCACAACGAGCTGGAAGAAGCAAAGTTGGAGCAGTCGCGGTCCATGCCGTCCAGCCCAACTCCGAGATCCACTCATCAAGGCTACCCTACCGCCGTTAAAGAGGAATGCCCAGTGTTGCCGAATCCTGAATCCCAGCCTCCAAGGGTGCGTACCTCATCATCCCTCATCTTCATGCGTTTGCTTCTCATTACATAGATTTTCTCAGAATTCTCTCCTGCGCTAGTTAAAATGTCAAAGAAGATGCATGGCATTGCATTGCATTCTCCAGGCTTGATTTAGTTCCTGAGTATGATTTGAGGTTTCCACATGCGCAGATGGAAGTGAGGAAACGAGAAGGTCAAGCACTTAACATCCATATGTTCTGCGCACGTCGGCGAGGATTACTCCTTTCTACTGTGAGGGCACTTGACGCTTTGGACTTGGATGTGCAACAGGCCGTCATCAGCTGCTTCAATGGCTTTGCTCTAGACCTCTTCCGCGCTGAGGTAAGCAGAGCCAGACCAACCCCCAAACCCTAAACCTGAAAAATCACGCTGTCACTTGCAAAATTACAAGAGCTCGCGTGTGTACTAAGTGTCGTAAAAATGGCCAGCCTCTTTTGGTTCAGGCCCTGTACTGATGCACTTTGGGCGAGGTTTAATGGAATTGCCAGGCAAAAGATGTAGGCGTAGGACCAGAAGAAATAAAGGCAGTCCTGCTACTCACTGCAGGATGCGGAATGCATTCTTTGCAGTGAATTTCATCCTGAACATGGACACTACTCGAATTATCTTCTCCCCTGCGTGGTGAAATGACCTAATTAGTACCGTCATTCACAACACATGCAATTAGCAAGGATTTGAAGCGGACATTGTACTATGAGACTATGACCCGTTTTTGCTGTTTCGTATACGGTAGGGCCCGCAGAGCGCACTCCAGAGAGCCTGTGGGACCTGCACAATATGGCCAGTAGCATTAACAAGCCTTGAAAGCGTCACGACAGCGAAAGTTTCGTGGAAATCTCCAACACTTATATGATGTGTTTCCTAAGTACTGCCCCACTCCACATCTGCCCGACTTGTAAGTTGCGTGGCTGTATAAAACGAGATATTCTGTTGAAAAGTTGGACAGAACTAAGCACTGGCGAGACCAAAATGACAGGCCCATCTAGTTTTCGGTCGCCGAACCTTGACAGCAGCGATCAAGGCACCCTGTGACCCTGGAGTGCGGATCAAAATGGTGTCGCAATGTCTCGAATTTTGGAATCGGATCACGTCTAGAGTGATTTTCGAAAGCTCCATGGAGCAATCGAGCAATCGGAACCGTCGACATGCAGCAGCAGTAGCAGCTTCGATCCATGAGCCTCGCTGAGTCTCTCGCCGCCTGGAGCTTGTTCTCGTCACTTCAACCGCGGTTGCGACGAGGATGGTGATGAGCTCTTGGTGTGGGGACCCATGACCACTTGTCAACAGTCATGTTGTAGTGAGTTAACTTGATGGTGTTATTTTTTACCCCATGCACAAGGAAGGTTTAGTTTAGATGATGGATTTTTATTCTTAGATGAACCAAAAATTAATTAATTAATTAATGAAAGAAAGAAAGGAAAAACACACTTTTACATGTAATAGATCAAAATCTTACAAAAAAAATCAAGATTAGATAAAAAAAAATGTGTTGGATTATATCTTACACAGTAAAATAGAATTTTTACATTTAAGTGTTTTTAAACTTTTAAAAAAATACAATTTAAAAAAAAATAAAGTGCAAAAAATTTATTTACAAAGTTTCAATTATCGTATATATTTTGATTTTTTTATGTTTTCTTATAACTTTTTAATTGTGTAAATGTTCAATACATATCTTACCAAGAGACATTTAGATGAGTTGCTAGTGATCTTTTATATACATAAATAAATAAATAAATTGAGTTGCGATTGTTGAGAGATGTCCAATTAACAAATAGATAATATATATATATATATATATATATATGAGAATAATAAAAGGATACAAATTTTTATTAAAGCAATCCACTCTATCTTAAGCATCATTGCATCCTTGGAGCCCCTATCCCTATTCCCAACCATTCTCCATTCCCAACCATTGCTAGGGGTGAGAACGATAGTTGGAAAGAAGGGAATGGCTAGGAAGAGGGCATGTGGGTCGATTTAGTAAAAATTTGGCTCACTTTATCATTTCTCAATATACATGTGTATATATATATATATATATATATATATCATTTCTTAATACTTTTTCTTGATGACATAATTATTAAAAAAAATCAAAATAATAATTAATTACTTAGATATTTTTATTTGATATTAATTCTTATTTTTAAATATAAAATATATAGATAAACATAATGTAAAATATAATAAATTTATTTATATACTTTATATTTTCATAGATAGTATTTTATAAATTATTTTTTAAAGCACACTATGACTATTTAATTGAGCTCTTTTATATCATTATAAAAAAAATGTTAGCATAAGATATCAAATAATGTTTTATAAAACAATAAAATGATAGAAAAAAACAAAAACAAAAACAAACATCCAAACAACAAAAAGAAGTGTACAAGTAGAATTCAATTTAAATTTTTATTTGAGGTCCATTTTTTCAAGACACCATGTAACATGTTGAATATGAAAACTAATTAAAATATATGGATATAGTAAAATTTTATAGAATAGACTGTAAATTAAAATAAAATGAATTGAAGATTATTCTATGAGTAAAGTTTTTGGTGTATTCAAAGATGTAGTATGTTTATAAAAATATTGAAAACAACATATTTGTGAAAGATGAATATATGTATATTTGTATATATAAATACTTATTAAAAATATTTATCCTTCATTGATTAATTCTAATATATTCTTAAAATATTCTATAATGAATAAATATTAAGGAGGTCTTCATGCCTTAATATATGATAATAACAATGGCTAAATGAATCTATTTACTACCTTTAAATATATATATATATATATATATATATATATATATGTGTGTGAAAAATATAATTTATTGTCTTTCTGACTTTACCAATAAATAATTATTGAACTTTGTAAAACTTATCTTTAGAAGGGAAGATAATATCACTAATATAAATATTTACCTAAAATATAAGAATTACATAGAAGTAAGTATTGATAGGAAGATTTGATAACATCTTGTAAAAAAGTATGAATGAAAATTTATTTTTGTACATATTTAATAGGTTAAAAATTAGTCAATAAATTAGCCACATGTTGTACAAATAAAAAATTAAAAAGTTAAAATATTTATTTTGATATATATAGTTATCAGTATTTTTAAATAGTGAGGGTATTAGATGATAATATAAATAAAAAAATTCAAGAAAATATTGTATACATTAGATTATTCTTCTATTCTACAATGCATTGCTCAAAAAATAGGTTAATTGATGGCATAAGTACTTAGGAACAAAACAAGGAAGAGCCAAATTTATAAAGAATTCTAATTCTTGAATTAACTATTCAAAGTTAATTCCATCGAATTCTATTTAATAAAAAATTTAACATTATTAATATTATTTTATACAAATCATAAATTATTTATTGATATTAAAAGATAGAAAAAAAAAAAAAAAAAAAAAAACTTATCAAAAATTGATTAAGAAACTTATTACATCTAATGTTAGGAAATGGCCATTAAAAAAACTACATGGATGTTCTCAAAAAGACAAATTAAATCATTTCTTTTATGATAATGCTAGCAATAATGAACAACTCATTAATCACATTTCTTTGTATAATTTTTTTTATTATTATTTGAATCTTTAAGAATAAATTAGATTCAAGTTTTTTCAAATATGCAAGAAGGTATTTACTTTTCTATATATATTAGGAGTTGCCTATAATTGTGTAAAAAGTTGGTTGATAGTTAGAATTAAACTTCTTGATTTATATCAAATTTATTTTTATGATTCAACTTTTGATATGTAAATAAATTATATATTAAAAATATCATAAAACTAATTTATAAGTGTAAAATAACATATGTTTATATATGTATATATATATATATATATATATATATATATAGTTAAAATATTACAATTTATATTTTATAAATATAAAATTAATCAAATATTAGACATGAAGCATAGAAAAATATAAATATAAATCTAACAATCACATAGAATATTTATCCCATAAGATCTTCTATAAGACCTCTTATACAAAGATAAAGACAAGTATATGAAGTGAATGTAGCTTCAAGATGTTAGTGAAGAGTTAAAGACAAACACAAAAAGGTAATGCAATTGTGAGACCCTTATAAAGAAATAAAGACAAGTGTAACAAAGGAAGGCAATGGAACAAAGTACACAAATTTGGTCACAATTGTAAATGCAAGACTGCTTGTCTACAGAGCTAAATCAAATCATAATAACCACAAAATCAAACCATGATAATAATTTATGGCTCAAATTGGAAAACTACTTGTTTTGCATGTCAATGACCAAAATATGTGGATCAAAGCAAATCAAAGAAATAGAATATAAGCATGCTACTAAAATATGTTATCTTATGTAGAAGGGGACACTTAAGTTGTAACAAATTAATTTGGAACAATCTAAATTGGACAAGTTGATAGGAGACAATCCGCCTTAATTGCTTCTTTAGATGAATCTACTTTTGTATATCTCTAATTTTTTAAGTTAACCAATCAAATCTAAGGGTAGTTTTGAGCCATTAGATAGAAAGACAATAGAGAATTGTATCTTCTTTCTTTACATCTAGTAGCCACTAAAGTTAGCTTGTTCATAGCTCATGCCAAATCTTTTTATTACAAATTGAACAACAATTTTTTTTAATCAATATCAAATGTATTTTGGATAAATGTCATAAAAATAACTTATGTCTATAAAATATTATTTACAAAAGAATTGCATTAATATTAAAACAATGATAAAGTCATCAACAACAAATTCATTCAAATGTCATCAATGTGTAAGATTTATCTCTTCAATATACATTGAATCATCTAAAATCAAGTCTATTTACAAAATTTTGTCAATCTTGTAGATTATTTTTGTTAACTTATTACTCAATTTCTTTGTCAAAGTACCCTAATTTATTTTTTAAAAATACTTCCCAGAAGTTTAAAAAATCTTATTATAATTGCCAGCAACTTAGATTTACAAAGACAAAAAAAGAACAAAACAATTTTGTTACTTTGATTGTAGGAATGGAAATTGGTTGCCTTAATATACTTTGGTAAAATGTTCAAAAAAAAAAAAAAAAAAAAAAAAAAACTCAACTAAACCTATAAACATACTAAATACTTTAAAAAAATTAACATAATGGAATTAAAATCTTAGAATATGAAAATACAAAAAAAGACATACACACACATACATCGAAATCACCTAAAAAGTTGGAATAGATCCGGAGACTTGGAATGAATAACGAAAAACTTAGTGTCACGATGTGCACATGGAATCTCTTCTCACCTTCTCCACGCTTCATCTCCGAAACCCTAAAACCACTCCCTTGGTAAACACACACACTTACTCACCACCTCATTGTTGCGAGTCGACGAAGAAAAACGAAGAAGCGGCGCAGAGTCGGCGACGAATACGACCCCAAATTCCCACGACCTCACGCCGAGGAACGAGCGGCGCCAATGCGAGTGAGGCGCCCGAGAGCATCATGATACCCAACATCATCAACGAAACCCACAAAGCGATCGGTGTCGGTGACAACAACTTCATCTTGAGAGGTGGTGGACGCGTGGGCGTTGAGGTCGCGCAATCAATGTGGAGATTGCGAGAGGGAAGAGACGCAATCAAGTTCGAAGATGAGGAGCATCGACTTAAACTTGGTCGAGGAGGAGACTGCGGAGGGTAGAGTAACGAACGCGGATGAAAGAGGAGGTCCTGTTGACGAGCAATTGGCCATCGGGGTGGAAAGGAGTGGCACAGGGACACGCCAGGATATGGCGCCACACAGAGATATGGATTTTGTAAGCCCTTTGCTGCTGCACCTCGAATGGGTCCCATGGCGATGGCGATGTCCACGCTCCAGTCGTGTGCTGTGTTCGCGTTGGGTTCGTCTGCGAGGATTGCAGCTGAGGGTTTGAGTGCCGGACGGAGATGGTCGGGTAGGAGCGTTCCGAGGGCGCCTCTGGGATTGAGCGCTCGCAATTCGTTTGAATTCTGCGGCGAAGAAGACGTGGTGAATGGACGTGAGGGAGTTTTTGATTTGGGTGCATCGGATAGGCAAGAGTCGCAAGGATTGGCTGCAGTCGACCTGGAGAGGTCGAGATGGGGGAGGAGAGATTGTTTGTTGGCAATGGCGATGAGTGGCGTGCTGGTTTCGCCGGAACGTGCTCGTGCCGATGGTCTGTTGCTATCTCTGTGCACTATCTCAGAATGGGTTTTTTGGAATTAGGAATATAAGTGCGAATTCTCATCAGAATTCTCGGATTTTTTCTGATTACAGAGACAGAAGCTGTGGATGCTCCGAGTTTGGAGCTGTACGTCGATGAGAAGGAAGGGTTCAAGTTGCTGCGGCCAGCACTTTGGAACAAGGTAAATGAATCTGACAAATTCACGTCGAGGGTGCCGTGGTTCGAACTCTTTCGCGCTTCTACAAGCACCTCTATGCGCTTTGATACATGCCTGGGCTTTGACACAGAAGCAGTTGTCTGTACATCTGCACCAAAATTCACACATTTTATTGATGGCGCCATCCTTTACCTTACTGTACTGGTTTGAAATTCCTTTCTGTTTTTGTCGCCTCTCGTGCTTCTACTGTCTTTCAGGATTTCTCGCTAGGATTTTGTGTTCTCGGGTCCTTTATGCCTCTGTCATTGCGCTGCTGCACATGTTTCAAATATGGCGGGGGGCTTGATTTTGGATGTCCTCATGAGTTACAACGCTTGCGAAGGACCATTCTAATCTTACAGTGGCACGGAGCTGGGACTGAATCATTCATAACATATCAGCTAATGGCTTGGTTGTGAGCTGCTCACCACGAATACTACATCTCTCATTACAACCGGAATGCAGGTGGAAAAAGCGGGAGCGACCGTTCTGTTCGAAGACCCGGCAAAACGTGGGAACACCATCGGCGTGGTAGTGAATCCAGTTCGAATCGCTTCACTCAAAGATTTTGGTAATCCGGACGTTGTTGCAGACAGACTCATTGCAGCGGAACGCAAAAAGGTGAAGTCCTACTTCACTACCATATACGGATTGCTATGTTGCAGATGTTTAATTAGATTGAGCTTGTTGTAACAAAGACACATTGCGCTGGCTATGGTGTAGCTCTCAAACTGTCTTTGAGGTTCTGTTTATTGAGAACTGGGTTTTTGTGAGTGCAGCCAAGCACAAACGATGCACAGCTGGTGCGTGTCCTGGAGCGACAAGCTCAAGGCGACACCCCACTCTACATTCTGGAGTACACTTTGGATAGCACAAGGGGCCAGAAGAGAGTGCTCTCTGCCGTCACGGTGGCCTCCAAAAAGCTCTACATCCTCAACATCACTTATGTAGACAGCCCAGCTGCACCAGCACCTGCAGCATCGGCCGAGGCCTTCGAGCAGGTTCTGAATTCCTTTGATTTGTTAGCATAGAGCCTCTCGTGTGCCGCATGATTCATTTGTTAGTATATCTCTTCCACGTGTGGTGTGTTTTCTGAAGAGGATTTTCAAGCTGTTTCTGCTCGAAGCTCCTGTCGGTGAACCTTCGAGATAGAATGTGTGTCTGAATTGTCTTACGAGCTTCATTTTCACACACACACACACTGCAGAGACATCCATTCATTTAGGAATCCAGGGAATTGTCGCACAATGTGAGTTTAAGCTCCTGCCGAGGCAACGTATTGTGGCAGATTATCAATCTAAACTTCATTCTTACGGAGTAGCTAGATTTGATAAATCGATCACATTCTTGAGGAATTTTTAGGTATGATTTTTAATGGCATCTAATAAATACCCATGAACTTTTATCCATTGTTTGGTCTTCACTGTTATTGCAATCCTTTTTTGACGATCTCAACCTCAGTGTAACACTCTTAGTTCTGACTTGTACTTTAGTTTAAGATTTTGTCATTGTTTAGGAACAAAACTCATTTGTAATTCTCCAAACTGTAGCACAAGGAATGATTTGGACTTTAATTGTGTTATCGTGGTATTTGTCTATTAGCATTTGGTGTTTTGGAACGGAGGAATGATCTAACATTTCATTTAGCATATGCTAGTAGAAAAAAAGAATATACAAATGAGTCTGTCATTGAAAATACAGATTTGATAAAATATCTCAACATATCTTCGAACAAGTGTATTCAAAATCAACACCTGTTTATAGTATGATGGTTGAAGTATAGGAAAACGATATCTATTTTTATCTCAATGAATAAACCTTTCTTGTCATGAGATTGGATTGATAAGTACTTTCATTCCTTTGTGCAAATTCATAAAAGAAAGTTTCCTTGTGGAATGTGATAAACATTTGACAGAAAAATAAAAACTATATCCTTTGTTATTAAAAATGTACATAATGCTACTAACAACTTTGAAAAATTATTGCAAATCTATTGTTGTTCTTTTTTTGAAAAAAAGAAAAAAGATTAAGCCTCACATATATTGTTGGAGTTCATATAAAGAGGTCAAGAACAAAGACAAATAATTTCATATATATATATATATATATATATAAATATTAAGGAATGTTAAATAGATCTAAGTTTTTACTAAATCAACCTACCAATTCTAAGCATCATGAAAAAAAATTATGATTTCTAGATTCATTTCTCTGTTATTAAATTTGCAACCAATAAAGACCAACCACATTGATAATGATTACCATATTTTTTCATCAAAGGTGAATCTATTTAGTAAAAGCATGGGTCTATTTAACATTCCCATATATATATATATATATACTATTTTATAATTTTTATTTACTATTTATGTGTTTGTCATACATGAAGTCAACAAACTTTCAAACTATATTCCTTGCTTTTAAATATATATATATATATATATATATATATATAATAGGTATTCTAACATAATAAGAGAAATTTTGTACTTGCTACAAATTGTTTTGTATTATTTGTGAGAATTAAACACAAAATTTTATCCATGGCTCAAACTAACTATTCATTGTAGTAAATGATGTGTCAATGATATGTATAATACTCCATAAGTAGAATTCGATGTTAATCAAATTTTAAATATAAGATCCTTTATCTATAATTAAAAGCATCAATATTTATAATATGTATGTATATATATATATATACATATATATATCATGTTAGAAAACTGCAACATCAATCCAATTTTTTATTAGTGGGAACTTGTACCCTGAAGGAGAAATAATGACCAGTTTCTTCTTTTGAGGTTATTTGATTTTATTTATTATTTTATTTATTATTTTTTGTTGTTATTGTTGGTGTTACAGTCGTAAATTTATCTCTTCTTTTCTATTCATTTTTTTTTGCATCATGGAAATTTTACATATCTAACCAAAAATGTTGTGATAAAAACTTTTTATTTATTTATTTATTTATTTTTACTACATAATTTTCAAGATCATAATATTGAGATTTAAAATGTGAATTTTTAAGACACATCAACTGCATCTTTGATTGATGTTTTTAATTAATGTTTTTTAAGGTACTCTTTCTTCTATATATATATATATATATATATATATATGTATAAGCGTAATCAAAAAAACACATAACATCAAAAAAGATACTTTCATAAGCATCAAGGAAGTATTTTTTTGTAATGAGTTATGTATGTGTATATCTATTTTTATGTATATTCCATTACATACAAGAGTCATTTAATTGAATATATATATATATATATATAATTTTATTTACGTAATTAACCTCTTAAATATAAACAAAAAAAAACTCCTACATCCCAATTGACTTGATGTCTACTTGCAAGTATGCAAAGTTTATATAAAAGCATTAATTGATGTCAATCATCCCACTACAAAAAAACCTTGGTATTTAAATCTTATAATATATTATAGAGCTAAGAACAACTAATGGTCTTTTAGCACATGGTGTATTCATACAATATTCATTTTTGGTGATGAAAAATTCTCTTTTATTTATTTAATTCAGTTTATTTATATTCTCCCTTGTAAACATTAAGAATAAGCATCAGAGAATCGAACAAAAAAGAATACAATACCTCATTTTCCACTTTGAAAATATGAAGCACTTCCAAATTTCAAACCACTACTCAAAATATCAGTTCTACACAAAACAATAATTCACCATCACTTAGTGTGAAGCACAATTTGCAAACTCTCACAAATGCTTTAATGATAAAATCCACTTGAATCAAATGCACATGGAATATGACGCCACTAAGCAGGAAGCGGACAAGTGGAGCTCGACCGTGTCAGCACGCAAAGCACTAGAATGACGTCACGCTCCAGGATAGACCGATTCTGGAGCAGACGTGGCACAACTCCCAAGTCACCACGAAAATGCGACGTCTGTCTCCGATACCCACGATTCACAATCCTGGCTAACGTAACCGGGAAATACAGATCCGGGTATGTGTACTGACAGAGTCGTGATGAGTCCAGGGTATGAACAGGTATAAGACGAATATTGAAGGGTCGGCGTCGTCGTCGTGGTTGTCCTGGGTGCGTCGAAGCCCCTCCCTGTTGTTGTTGCGAGGGGGAGGGGGCCGTATAGAGAGGGCGATTCACTAGAGACTACTGCGGCCACGAGGCCTGACTTGGATCTACTCCACTTGTCGGTTACAGGTAACGCGTTTCGCTGCCGTCCTGTGTGGATTTCTTATTTCTTTGCTGCTTCTAGGTCGCTGAATTGGCGCGTGCCATTCGTCACTTGTCAGTTGATTTCCGTCGTTCTTTATCCCTGCATTCACCTTCTTTATCAAGTCGGTCTTCGTGTTTTCGCAGATTTGAAATTCTGTCTGCGCAGTTAGTTTTCGTTTTTCGCTAAATCTCGGCGGTGGAGTTTTGAGGTTTTGGAATTTTGTGAGGTGAAGAAGAAGGAGGAGAAGAAGAAGAACCGTGTGAGTCCGTAACTAGGTGAGATGTAGTGGTGTTACGAATTCGGGTGAGAGGGTCGATTTGGTTTGTGTTTTTGTGATGTGACAAGGATAGTGGATTATGTTTGAGATTTTTGGCGTTTTCGGTGTGGTTTCAACCATGCCGTAGCGTATATTCATGTTTTCGCTGTGATGTGTAGTTTGGGCTTTATTTTCTTCAATCGCCTTTAATCCTCGGATCGTGAAGTATCTCGAGCGACTGGCTTTCAGAGATAATCGTGTTGAAGTTAGCTGTGTTGGAACTTTTGAGTGTGTGATTTGGTGAGCTGGTGTTCTGATTCTTAATTGCAGAATTTGAACTCGACGGCTTGTAATTTAGACACAGAGAAGTGGTGTCTGAGTAATCGGATCAATGACGATTCTATTTCAGTTCGAATTAATTGATTTAAAGCAACGAAGCTAGATATTTCTGTTCAATTTTCAATTTGTTGTTTGGTATTCTTTAAGATATATTTTGAATATTGGTTCAGGGTTTGATGAACGGTAGTAGGGGATACTGAACAGGATCATCTGCAATGGATACAATTTATAAAAGAGTCTTAATCTTAAGAATCTGTCTCATGTTTGAACTTATCTCGAAAGCCGATTGATTTAACCAGAAGCGGGTTTATACAAATTATCGATCACAAGAAATGTGCACTTAAGGGCGATTTGAATGACGCAAGATTGGTTGAGTGAGTCTCAGTATAGAAGTGCATTGAATTAACTTTCAAAGATTGAATATGTGTCCCATATTCACGGTATATATATGTTTGGCGCCAGGAATCCTTCACTGTCTGGAGAATAAGCAGCGATCGTTTGTTATTGTAAGTCTGAGTCCATGTGAGAACGAAATTTGAAGTTGAATTTATTCAAGTCAGTTTTCGTCAATACATAGCCACACTAGTATTGATGAACGGTCGCTGTGGATTGCCTCAGACAATCTGGCGGACCTTGCAAGACGAAGGCTGGGCATGGGAAGGTCTAGTGGTGGAGCTTTTGATGGAGCGATAACATCTGCCTACGGTTCAAGTGGTAAGGAAGAGCCTTTTGGCCCGAATGTAAGTGATCGACCTCGTCGTAGGACAATGGACGACCCTCCAAGTTATTATAATTCGTATTGGAATCGCTCGTACTCCAACAATCAGAGGTCGTGGAGCACAGAACGAGACCAGCGAAGAGGGGAGGGGACGCCAGCAAAAAGTGGCTTCTTTGTTGTTTTTGCATTTTTTTCATTTTTCGGTACGGATTCTTCCCTGAAGAAAATGTTTATCATTCTCAAGATTCTGACTAGGTTTATTAGCTTTCCATGGTTTGATACATCTTTAAGTTTCGTTTTGTTTATGATATCATGGAATGCGATCAATTACATTTTTTTAAAAATTATTATTTTACTAATTGCTTACTGACATAGTTTTTACTTTTTCCTGATGACGATGAACCAGTGTCGTTGTGGATGATATTTGGCCTTTATGGAACTCAAGAGCTGGAGATGGGTATGTTCTATTCGCGGGTGACAAAGGCCAATTCCTTCTTTGTTAAGGAAATAAAAGTGAGTTCTTTGATTTTTGTTAGTGCTTGATAGTTATTTCTCTTGAAATCAGAGTCAATGGTAGTGATTATAAATAACCGATGAAACATTTACAGTGTGTACTACAGTGGAATAGATTTGGAATATGGGTTTACTGAGCAAGTTGTGAGGAAATAATTGTGTCAGGATATTCACTTTTTAATCTAACTTGAGATTTCTGTAGATTCTTGTTTGATTAACAACTTTTTCTTATTGTTTGGTTAATTTAGGTACAAAATCTCCGGGACAAAGGCCCAGTTGCTCGTTCGTTTTCAACTCGCCCCGAGCTTGGTTCTTCATATCCTGAGAAAAAGACTATTGACGATTACGTCATTGAGAAGAGATCTCATAAGGTATTTTTTGTTGCTTTTTCGTTAGCATAGAATTCCATTCATTGTTGTATGCTTCTCCTTATGCTTTGCAATTGAGTATATTTAGGTAAATCTTAGCATCTGGTGCTTTTGTGTGCATCAATTTCAAAGAGTGGCATGTTTGCAGCGACACACATACTGGTTAAATAAGGGCTCGACTTTGGAGCTATCATGCACGTTGCAGGATCCTTCAAAAGGCAGCTTGATTGTCGCTATTGTGAAAGGTTGATTTCCTGGCATCATCTATTTTACAATTCTCATACTGAGTTTCAATTGTGATCCAGAGTTTTACTTACCGAACTTTCCTGGTGTACTTTGTCCCTGATAATGAGATATACTCTGAGCTTCATGTACCTTGACAATCTCCTTTATGAATTAGAGCTATGTGCGTAGCATTAACTGGATTGCTCTAAATTAAAGCTCATCTCATTACTGGCACTTTTTTTGCTTCTGGGTTGATTTCAATTCTTGATGTATCTTGTCTTTATTGAAGAATTTTATCTCTTTTATTGATGAGATAAGTAGCTCAAAATATATTTGAAAAATTTCTAAGTTAAAATAGATTAAGTTTGATACCACTGAGCCTCGAAGTTTGTTTCTACAACATTTGAATCTGGGCTTATAAAGGGTTTGCGATTTCTTTTTGTAGGTGAAGATGGATTTCAGGATTGGAAAGGCGATCCAGCTAATCCTACTGCGGCACTGAGGTGGAGACGTATTTCTGGTATGTATCTGCGAAATAGTAAATGCCAGAACCCCCTGAAAGTGATGTATGTGTACACAATTGAGCACACTGTGTATTGGAGTTGCAACTCTAATGATCAGCACGCTGAACTATTTTTCAGCGAATCACTGATTGACTCTACTGATGAATGGTTCAGAACGAGTAATGGTTTAAGGTGGTCATCACCTTGATGTGCAGACAAAGGATCGCTGAGTTTTAAGGTGGAAGAGGACGATGATTATTGCGTAGTGTTCGGCAATCTTAATTCTATTAAGTTAACTGTAAGTCATAGGTTTCTTTATTCTTGCCATCAGGCAAACGCTGAGATGCTTTATGGAGAAAATATCGACTTTTTCAAAAAATATTCAGATCATTGAAATAATTTGTCACATGTGGACAGTTTTATAATTTGAGGTTTATGTTCTGGTTGTTTTGGTTATAGTAGTCGAGTGTTTTTGGTATTTCCATGAGTAGTGTTCCAAGAGTCATTGTTTTAAATCTCCGCAAAATTGTGGCTTAGTTGTGATAACCTTACGGCTTTTTTTTCCTCTTCACGATCTTCTTGTTGCTTTTGATTCAGATATCCATCGATCTGCAGTTAAGCTATGTGGTTTATTCCACCGAGAAAGCGGATTCCGTGTGTTCTTCTCAAATCACAGATACTTGCCATTTTCCACTTTCACTTGGGCACACTTCCTATGTGTTACTAACATCTCCAATCGTTGACCTGGTACTTGGTTTTGTTCTCATTCATGATCGCTTTTCCTACATATAGTTGTACTTAACTTCGTTGATTTTGAGCTGTTCACTGTGAGCAATGATTGCTGAAATCTGCAATAATAGTTCAATTAATCTTTTTCATATTCAACTCCAAATATTCGGGCACCACTGAATTTTGATGTTAGGTTTAAGTAAGGGTTTTGTTGGAGTATATGGTATGTAAAGGTCTTAGTGTTTAGATATTCGTGAATCTCACTACTACCTGTGGGTATTGGATGCTTGCAGCATGGAGTGGATATTTGGAAGATTAAACTGTCGTATGTACCTCGCTGGATCACTTATATTTTTTGCTGGGGTAAGTTGATATCGGGTTCAAATCCGGGTGAAGCTGTTTCTTATTGATTGTTGACTTAGATGCCTTGGAAAATTTGAACATACATTGAAGCATTTTTACATGTAGCTTCCGAATTGATTATGCGAGAGTACAAGCATCTACTCCTTATGGGATTTTAGGTGTCAAAGTGCGGGTTTCATATGTTTAACACAAATAAAAAGGACAAGTTGTGCTACATCCAAAACGTACAATTTTTTGTAAATATGAATGAGGCAGATTTAAGGATTGCAGAACAGACGGTGCATAACTTTGTTTTGGAAAATATTGCAAGAAAGGTTGGGGCTCTTGAAAATTCATCTGCTTCTATATATTTGATGCTAGAACGTTAGTAACGTAATTTGTGAAAGCATTGATGTTTATCCTAACTGTTCAAATGAAATAGATGCAATGTGGTAACCTCTTATTGCAACGGTAGTTCATAAACACTTAAGTCATTCCCTGGAATATGTCTTTATGTGTTGGACGTATATGCCATAAATTTAACTAAGAGAGCATTGGGTTGATGTTGGAATTCCAATCGTATTTGTATGTCACGCAGGTCTTGTTGCTGCGGGTTTGCTCTTCACCATGGCTTTTGAATTTCGACAAAATGGCTCCCAAGCTACCGTAACTCAAGAAGTTACTCCTCTAGTCTCAGAAGATGCTGCTCAATTCCCTGCAGCGTCAGCCCCAGTTGACTACTCAATGCAAACGGATGAAAATAACAGTGGGACCGCAGGCATACCTGAGAATCAGCTTTGCACCTTATGTTTGGATGCACCGAAGAACAGTTTCTTCGATCCTTGTGGCCATAGATGCACGTGTTACTCATGTGGACTGAGGTAATCTTTCTTCGACCAATTTTATTTTTGTTAGTAACTATGCTGCAGGATATTGGTATCGATATTCTGATTTAATCCACTTTGTTTGGCAAATTGATCAAGAACTCTTTTATTGTGCCGTTCATATTTGTAGTAGATGTGCAGTTTGCTTTTTATTTCTGGAGACTAACGTTGATTGGTTGACTGCTGCAGGATACAAAGAGGCGACTCAAACAGATGCCCTATATGTCGGCAAACCATCCGGACTGTGCGGAGAATTTATGATGCTTAGCTTTTGTGGGTTCTTATCTTTTATCCATACCCTGTTTGATATGTTCAACTGACCGGTAGCTTGTTAATATTTGTAGTTTTGAAGCAAAGCGTGGGGTGGTGAACTGCTTGCCTGTGCATCCACATGCTTTTATTTTTGGGAGTGTGCCAGGCGCAAATTACACTGCATGCAAACGAAAGTGTCGACACCGTTCTGGTCTTCTATCAAGTTGAGATTTTTTGCCTCCTTTGCAAACACAGCATTGTCATGAGAATTGTCGATGTTTGCAAATGCATAATGAGAAAGAAAACGATGTGGTTCAGCAACACAGACCGCCCAATTATCTGTTTGGTTACGGTTTGGTAGGCATGCGCCTAACCAAAACGCTTCAACTTGCAATTAGACTAATGTACACCTTACTATATTCATGTGTATGTTCGTTTGTCCACATCTAATTATCATTTCTGTTCAGAATAGTGTACCTTCGGTCTCACTGCCTGCTGCTTCATCGTTCTTTCCACTAATGCTTTTCAGAGATTTTATTCTAACGAGATCTATTCGCAGAGTGATTGATTGAAGTTACAAACCTTTGACCGTCGTCAATCCCTTGCTTGTGTCAGTCATTGGATCGATCTTAGCCACACGACTTTTATCTCAGAAGACCATATCGAGGTGCATAAGAATGAAAGATTTTTTGTTGTAGGATTGCATCTTTATCCAATTCGTGCTTTGCATCGCCTTGGTGTCAGACTTGGTTCCACACACTATTTAGATTCATCCTTCCGTTGTACTTTAATTAAAACGTGGAACAATGAAGCTTAACTTCACAATGCAGTAAGATAATTCATGATAAGAGGATGGATCTTCCTAATCGCCAGTTTGCATGTTCTGTTGAAAGCATTCATGGGCTATCTATGGAAAATTGTACTGTAAGTTAGCCTGAGCTACAAATGTATGAAGTTAAAATTAGTGGCAGATTGAACAATTTTTTTGGATTTCATAATCCTCTATGTAATTGTGCTAAAAATATGTCATTCTGATACACATACCCAAATGTGTGTGTACATGTATACGTATGTAAGCATTTCACCTTATTCAAACAATGCAAGTTCAACACACAATGTGGACATGCACCCGACTCTTTGTGGCTCATGGAGCAATTTTTGAGATATTATTTTCCAACTGAACACTGTATTTTATCATTTAGAACTTTTATCCTTTACAATGCCTTTACTGACTAATACACCCATCATACCTATAATTGCTATATCCCGTCAATCGCTCAAAAATCCACAACACTATATAATTACCAATCTTATCACCCAATCAAAACGATGAAAATAAATCCACCTGTTCGCGACCTTTTAAATAACAACTATTTGCGACAAATCTATTTGCGACCGACTTAGTTGCGACCCTCATTTGCGACTGAAAAGTTGCGACCGATCTCTTTGCGACCTATCCATTAGCGACCCTATGGAAGAGACCCCGTTTACACCTGTGCACCGAGGATGCCATGGTTGGTTGCCGGATGAGAGGACTTGCTTTTCCGTGCGCAAGCACCGAAACGAAAGCGAGGGGGACGCAATAGAGCTTAGGAAATATTTGTCCTTGTCGTGGTAGCGATGGCGCTGCTGCACCACGCCCATGCTTCCCAACCTCTACGTATCTCGGCAATCCCTCAAACCCATCTCTCCTCTCCGAAACTTGCCTCCTCCCTCGTCTTGTCAAGTACGCGCTTCGGTGGATTCCCCACACTCCCAATTGCAGGAGCATCGTCTAGGTTCTCATCATCCTCACCTTGTGCGGAGCAGCCCTTGGGTTTACTGAAAATGTGAAGAGGGTTGTGTGAGAGTAGTGTAGAATGTGGATTATGCGAGAGTTTTTGTTTTGTTTTGTTTTGTTTTGTTTTTTTTTTTTTTTTTGGTTTGTTTTGGGTAAGTCATTTGGTTTGATTGTTGGGTTTTGGGGGCTATGATGAGAAACAGGTGGTGGGCAGGGCCGTCCATGGCCATGGTAGGTGTGAAGTCTGCTACCGAGGGAGCCAAGTTCGCAGTTCCGCCTCCTGCGCACCCCACGTATGATCTTTTGCATGTAATTCGTCTGGCGCTTGCTGAGGATGCCGGCGATCAGGGTGCGTTCCTGGTTCTTTTGAATTTTCTGCCGGTTGGAATTCTCGCAGCTGCTGCTATGGTAAACCCAGCAAGTTCGTAATTTATGCTCATCTCAAAATTTTCACAATCTTGGATAATGGGGTGTATAAGAGTCACGGAGTTTTGGTTGATAATTGTTAGTCGTTTCGTCTTTAAAGTAATTGTGTGTGTGATTACACGTTAAGGGAGAACGAGTTCTATTTTTCAGTATGTATTGGAAAGTTAGTGCTGCAAAGAGAGGACAAGAATGGTCTAGGGCGTTGGTTAAGAGTTTAAAGACGAGCCTTGAATACGGCAACGTTTCGAATATTTAGAGATGAATCACCTGCGATTAGTTGTTTATGTCTATGGGTTTAGGGATTTAGGTCTTTTGCTCATGCACGCTCCGATACATGCAGGTGATGTGACTTGCTTAGCAACAATGACGCCAGACGTTCAAGCAGAAGCTCAATTTCTAGCCAAGGCGAATGGAGTGATTGCTGGAATCGCATTGGCAGAGATGGTGTTTACTGAAGTGGACCCATCGTTGAAGGTTAGCTCCCTGATGTTGCGTTGATGAAAACGGGTGGTTCCTCTATGTTTCAGCAAGCACAATGATTGTAGGTAGGCAGTTAATTGTATACCAGGTTCGTCCGGTCTTGATTATCACACTTAAAACTCTTCGAGAGTTGCTTGTGGCAGGTGGAGTGGACTGTTCGCGACGGAGATTTGATTACCAAGGGCCAGCAATTTGGAACTGTTAGAGGTTTGTCCCCATTTGTATGCTGTGATTACTGTCAAAGAAGTAAATTGTGCACTTTGTTCAATCGAACTGCGATTCGTATGCTGAAGTGTGAGCGTATCTTTTGCTCTCTTCAGGATGTTCAGATTTGGTTTCAAGTTAGATCTTCACTTTGAACATCACTGATTACAAGGTTGAGTGATTAACGCTGTTTACATTTTTTTGGTATCAACCGTTCGGAGAGGTTAATCGCGAGCTTAGAAGAATCTAACACAAACATTCATTCAGGAGTTAAAGGAATTGGAGGAAATTTTAACCAGCCTTTTTATTCCCTCAGGAGCGGCTCAGAGCATATTGACCGCGGAAAGAGTTGTTCTGAATTTTATGCAGCGGATGAGTGGTATAGCTACTTTAACTAAGGTAACATGATCATGCCGGTTTGATTTAGAAGTTATATGTTGCTAGGAGCTACAATTTCGATCGCCGAAGAAGTCCTTATTCTATTATATTCTGGACATTCTATTGGAGCTGTTGTATTCACTAGATAGTTGTAGCAACTTTGCTTCATTTGGAATATGGTGACCTTGACTTGTCCAAGTAATCTTTTCATTACGTTTTCTTTGCCCTCAAACAATCTTAGAACTGAGACTTGTACCTGACTTATATCTGGAACCATCCAGCACTATTAGTGATGCTTTATAAACACTAATCGGTGTGTTTCACCGTGACCACGTGCTCTCGTGGTAGGCCATGGCAGAAGCTGCAAAACCAGCTCGAATATTGGAGACCAGAAAAACAGCACCTGGGTTACGACTTGTTGATAAATGGGCAGTACGTATTTCCTCCTCAAATTAGTTGCTTGTCTATTATTGGCTTGCACATGCACGCTTCAGCAACATAGATACGAAGTGAGAAATCAAATTTCATCATTTCCTGTTTATTTCCTTCGTGCATTGTATATGGTTCAATGTTAAGGGCGCAAGCGGTGGTGGTATGCAGGTTTTGATTGGAGGAGGTGAAAACCATCGGATGGGATTGTACGATATGGTTATGGTTAAAGATAACCATATTGCTGTCGCTGGAGGAATTCAGCAAGCCATATCCGCCGTCGACAATTATCTGAACTCGAAGAATCTCAAAATTGGTGTTGAGGTATCTTTTATACTGGAACTTTCATTGATTTGCATCTCCTCTGGTGTGGCTGATATGAATCTTCCTCATAAGGTTTCTATACATGCAGTTGGTTTTACCAATATGTTGGTTCTGCTCTCGTCATATCGATACGGTTAACAGCTGCACTCCTTTGTCATGTTAGTATGGGTGGAAAATCAAAACATGAGAATTAGAATGAGCTTCATAGAGGGCGCATGGCAACTTGCCGTACTTTCTCAACAATTTTCTATTTTCTATTTCTATCTTTAATCACGTTTTGCAGTTTGTATTTTTCATCAAAAACATGTGGGTAGCAAGTGTAACTCCTGACATTGTTAGCGCTAGGGAATTAGTATCTCACGAACTAATTAAATAGAAGATTACAGTCCCGCTTGTACTTTTTCTAGCAGTTTTCACTATAACCTCTCTCTTCCCTTGTGGCTGTTATAGGGGCATGCTGAGGAATTAGAGCTAGTGTGACTATTTACCTATTAGTAATGACTTGTGGTGTGTTGGACGTGGTTTCTGCGCCAGATTGAAACAAGAACTCTGGAAGAGGTGCAAGAAGTGCTGCACAGTGTGGCACAAGGCAAAGGCCGTGTAACTCGTGTTATGCTTGATAACATGGTGGTGCCTTTGGAGAACGGTGATGTAGATGTTTCTCTGCTTCAACAAGCAGTGAGTATGATTGAGGGAAAATTTGAAACTGAGGTTTGTGTTCACTTTATACCATATCGTTTGTAGGAGTGAAAGTCCGACGTATTTCTTCTCTGTGGATTCTTTGTCGATGGATTGTACAGTATGTCTTGTATAATTTGCTCCATTTACAGTTTTAGATCTATGCAATAATCAGAAATATACACATTTTTATCATTTGTCGTGCTTTGATACACTAGTTGACTGAACTGCGAATCCTTCGATTGATGTTACCTAGGCCTCCGGTAATGTGACGCTTGATACGGTTTCTAAAATTGGTTCTACTGGTGTGACCTTCATTTCCAGGTGAGTTCGTAGCATGAAATGTTCATTGGTAGAATTGAGTTAAACGAATTGAATTGTGTTGCTTTATTGTAGAAGCGAATTGAATTCTTCCTTGTAGAATGGACTGTTCTGTCGTCCTCACTTAAGTTTCTGGCTTCTGTGTGTGAGGCAAAGCAGTGCACTTCTATCTGGACCTTGTTACTTACCTGATTGCATCATGCTTTTTCTGATGTTTTTGCTTTATAGTGAATTTATTTCTTATTTTGACTTTTCTTTTTGCATGGTAATTCGGCACTGATGTTGTGTTTTGGTGATGTGGGGACAGTGGGGCATTGACACACTCAGTGAAAGCATTGGACATCTCTTTGAATGTGGACACAGAACTGGCTATAGAAGTAGGCAAACGCACCAATCGTGCATGATACCCGGTACTCGTCTGTCTGGACATTCCTTGCTCGGTGCTCTGAGTTATCGTGTGGAAACTTATGTAAACCAATTTGCATAAGCACGTGATCCTTCATTCATCGAGACTGAATAGAATAATACGAGTTGGTGTGAATTTCGACATTGTAGCTGGATCATGGTGCATATAAGATGACCCATGCAGTCCTCCTGGAATTATCATTTTATGAATAAATAGCTTTAATGTGGAAAAGTAATCATTACAATTATTCAAACAACCTCATCATAGATTGTTAGCAATAAGCATTAAAAATAAAAAATAAAAAAAGTTAAGTCTTTTTTTTCATATTTGTCATATTGTTAGAATTGAGATATGTGCTAATATTTAAACTTATAATAAAAGAATGACTTCGCTCAGCTTATTATTTCTTCACATTACATGTTATCCTCAAAAATTAAGACTTTTTTTCACAAGGGAGTTTTTGGAAGATTTTTTACGATATCCTTTTCAAAGTGAACCTATAGAAAAAGAGACCCATTAGTCAGAGACAACTGAAGTATTATGTGCACAAATGACACCATTTAGTAAGATTCATGTTTTGTAACAATACAAGAGACACTTGTCACAAATAAAGTAATACATTCAATCTTCTGTGCAAACAATTTCATTCCCAATTGAAACAAGAGAAATTAGAATCTCGTTCTAAGAAAAAAAACTCCTGACACTCATGTGCCAGAAGGTTTATTCATGCGTTGTTTAGGTAAGATTTTACACATGGTGGAAAGAATAAACAAAGGAGAAAATATGAGCCAAACTCACCTTTAGCTATGCTGAAAAACTGCTTAGGGTACAAACAAACAGCGAGAGAGAGAGAGAGAGAGAGAGAGAGAGAGAGAAAGTCTACATTGTTGTCGTAGTCTCGCACAGCTCGTCGTAGTGTCGAAAGGTTGCGAAAGATCGATGTAAAGATGAGGGACGATTTGCAAGGGCTTCAGAATGGCGAGGCGAAGCGAAGATTACCCATGTCGCTGTTGCTGCAGATCCATTACGAAAATGAGAAAGGATCCATTTACGAGCTGCTGGTAGGGATAGGGAATTCCTCATAGGGTTGCACAACGACGAAGCCCTGGCCTCTGGAGCCATCGAACTTCATTTGGAAGGTCTCACCGCTGCCGCGGCCGAGCAGAGTCTTTAATCCGACATCGGATTTGAAGTCGGGGACTAGGGTGCCTGACCACGCGACCGTGGCTTGGGGATCCGTGTAGACAGGCGGGTAACCTGGCGCAACGACGAGAGTTAAGGGTTGGCCGTGTGTGAGGATCGCAACAAATCCATGGCCTTGGAGTTGGACGTTGTAAAGGCCACCGGAAACGATAGAGGAGAGCTTCTTCATCATAGTGATCTTGTGCGTAACAGTGGGCTCGAATGCCAGAAGGTCGTCACCGTTCACGACGAGGGACTCGCCCTGCAAGTAGAGCACCGTGACGCGCTTGCCGCTGTCCGCAAGGTAGAGCTGCGCGCGGCTCTTGGTGGAGGCTTTCGTGAGCGTGGCGCCCTCGCCCGTGAACTGCTTCTTCAACATGTTGCTGAACCCGTGGTCCATCATTCCCTCGCGCTCAAACTTCACATCCCCCTGGTACGCTACCATAGATCCTGTTTTGATCCACACCTGGTTGAGGACCGCGCCCGTGCTGCTCGGTGCTCCTAAATTCACTTGCAAGAAGCATTGCTTTTCCACCTCGAACGCCGCCCCTTGTTGTGTCCCCTGGTCTTTAGTACTGTCAACAAATTGCTGCAATGAGCACGCCATTACTCTCTGCTTGTTCACTCCCTAAACCCTCTCACAAGGTTCTGTCTCCTCTCTTCTTTCCTCACTCTCCAACCAACTAAACTCCAATCCAGCCGAATGCTCTTCGGAATTCAACAGCTTACTACTTCCCACTCTTCAATCTACAACTTCAGTAACCACACTCTGCCCTTAAAACACAACGACAGCGTTATTTACACTACTCTAGAGCTCCCAACATCATCCGAACGCGAAGACAACGTTCACACTGAGGACAAGGATCAGAAGGATCTACAGCCCCGCGAATACAAATAAGCACGCGCAGGTGTCGGAAAACTTGGCGCGTGAAGTCGGGCAGTGGGGTGGAGAAATACAATAATAATAGTAGAATAATAATAATACTAATAATAATACGATGATGATAAGGTACTCACTAGACATCAGCTCAAAAAAACATTTAACTGTGTGTGTGTATGGATCTCTCACACTTCCCTAGCTCATTGTGGTGTTATTATTATTATTATTATGCATGATTATTGATAATCATTGGTTGCCGATTCAACCATCTTTTCATTGGTTTTCAACCAATACGGATATTTTTTTGATGATGACTAGAATGGGTGGATTAATTTAGTAAATGCCTCTGTCAATTTAATAATTAGATATATATATGGTTGATTCTTCATTCCGTACTGTTGGAGTAGATTTTGGTGACAATTTCTGCACCAAAACAACATTTTTCTCAGAGTTTTTTTTTTTTTTTTTTTTTTTTTTTTTTTGTCTAGTTTATTTTAATCTTCCTTGATTTTTTGTGTTTATTCTTCTTTAATCTTTTATTTCTCCACCGTTCTTCCTACCCACAAGCCTGTAAGATTGTTTTTTTATCTACCAGATTTCATCCTCTGCAGCACCTTCTTCTTTCATTTCTACTGATGTTTCATGTTTGGGGTACATAATTCCTAATTATCTCTTTTTAAAATTTTAGTAAGTAATTTGTTTGATGAGTTTATGTCAGTTTGTAAACATTTTTGTAGTGCTATTTTTATATTTTTTTCTTTTATGGAAATAATATTAGTGTATTTTGAAAAATTATGATGGTGACAAATTATGTACAGAATACATCAACGACCCAAAAAGTAATAACAATAGTAACAATAATAGTAATAACAAAATCATGTTGTAATAGATTTTGAAGGTTTTGATGGAAGTTTGTTGAAATGTATGTACATAATTGTATTTATTGTAAACTTCAATTTTGTATTGCAACTTATTTTAATTATCATATTATCTTTAACTTGTCTTGACTTGTAACAAACTTAAATGCCTATGAACATCTATATGTATTGCTTTATATGTATTATCTTACATTACTCTAACATCAATTATCTTAATAATTAAATAATAAAACGTATCAACGTGTCATGTGCAATAATAATAAGTAAAAACATTTGACAAGTGCAATCCATCCTCAACAATTTCATACAATAAATGCTATTGTCCCAGACACATGTTTGAAATTTGTTGTGTTTTACAAAGTCAAATGGCCTCCATAACACGTTGTCTTGTGGGTGTGTACTTTGGTTCTGTAGTCAAACATGTGACTTTTAATTCCTTTTTGTAGTCCTTGGAATACATTCCTATCATTTAGATCTGTTATCTAATTTCAAAGTAGAATCTATATATATATATATATATTTGTCTTGAAAATCAGTACATATTTATTCTCAAGGTGTCCTCCAAGTTCTGTCCTTGGATACCTTAAATGTTACCCAATTCATGGATTTATCAGTACCACATATTCACTTGCCAAAGTCACAATACCTGCTTTACAATCCACTATTTCATACATTAAGGACCCATTTTTACTATTTTTATTACATACTCTACGCCGCTTTTTATGAATTTGATACTGGGGAATGAATATATATATATATATATATATATATATGTTTTTGATTCTTTTTCTTGTTCTTTATCATAATTTTTTATATTTGTAAAAGCATACGATGTAACATAACCTTGTTGTGGCCAATATAACTTTAAAAGGCATTTGTAAAGTTGTTACTTTGTACCTTGGTGTTTAGTACATACATAGTTTTGTAACACACTTTTTCTTTGTTATCAACATTTTATTCTAGCACCAAAAAAAAACAAATGACAAAAAATAAGTTCATTCAGCTAGGATATTGTGTTTATATTCCTTGTAATTAAATTGGGACATTGTATAAATTGTGTTCTGTGTTTCAATATTGTGGAATCTTGCGTCTTATTCTATGCCATATCATGCAAAATGACATCATTTCTCACTATCACTATAACCTATTCATAAATTAGAGTAGACAAAAATTAGTTATTGAAAAGTAATTAGATATATCCACCATGTGTATTTATGTATGTATTCAACCACTATATACAGTTAAAAGCTGTAAGTTAATGCAATAATTTTTTTATCAATTAAAATTATTTTTTCAGTGTTTACAAATAAGATTCTAGTTAGTAAAAGCATTACTATATAGATAGAATTCGTAAAGCTTTGTTGGGATATCTTTGTTTACTATTATCTAATTTGAAGCAACCTCATCTGAAATATATGTATATATGTATTTTTAACTTTTTGAAAAAAATAAAAAATAGTACACAAGAAAATGATTAATTGGATTTATTTATTTTATTTTATTTTTAAATTTTTTTGTGATGACTTGGAAAATATTCAGAATGACATTTGGTGTACTTCATGATATTCAAAGTATCAATCCCTTTAATGACTGCCCTATAAATAATAATTCAGTTGCCCGTATTAAACCACCCTTGTCCTTCATGTTGTTCCTCGATTGGTTTTGTCACTAAAATGAAGAATAAACATTACTATTATGAAAATGAAAACCCGGAGGATTATGTAGTCCGATGAGAAGAGGTGCATTAGCCTGTAGGATTCGCATATGATGTCGATCTTGACCCTCTTTTGGTTCACAGAAATGAACCCATTTTTCACTGAAACAAGTTGCGTTGAAAGGCAGCCAAAAGCGCATGTTCAAAACAGGGCACACTCGCAAAGGAGAAGGTGCTTTTAAAAGGTCCGAAGCACAGCTTGTCAGGAGATTAAGAACATCAACCACTATCGAGGCAAGAAAATAACACCTTCCAACAGTTGAGACGTAGCGTTGGGGAAGAGCGCCCCACAACAAGTGAAACGACCTATTCAACAACATGCGCAAACGACTATTAACCCGGATGATACTTTACCTGGTGCTAGTCCAAAATACTAAATCTGAGTTGTGAAGACATCAAAGAATGCAGCGTAAAAGTAAAATAAATCAAAACAAATATAAAACAAAATGATTTTTTTTGGATCGTTCTAAAACGGCCAGTAAGAAGGTCCATGATGGGTCGCAGTCGTGAGGTTGGTTGAGAACAAATTCACTCAGACAGATGAGTATAAAAACAGCAATCCGTATTCTCATTCTCACCTCACGATCCAACGCACTGCATGTGGCACAAACTTCTACATCACATATTGTGACTATTCTCCATGACGTTTAACAGACCTTGAAGACATAGATTTCACACGGAAAAAAAAAAAAAAAAAAAAAAAAAAAATCTGTTGTGAGCAATACGTATGAGATTATTACAACAAAACTTGAGTTAACTAAAATGACGAATCTATACATACATACATACATGCATACATACATACATGAATCCCGCACGTTTGTCAAAAGCTGAAACAGTAGGTAAACATGAGTGGGAAAGCAAACATTAATCACAAAAACAGACATCCCAAGTTTGCCCTATCTGATATTTACAGTCGAAGTGTTCAAGCTCCCTGTCTGCATGCGAATACCTCTCAAGCCACTGTTCCCAACTTTATTTGACGCCAAGAGTAGACCCTCAAACACATGAATTTCGAGAGACGGAGAGAGAAAATACCTCTGGTAAGCAGTCCACAGAATGCAAGTTTAAAGCAATACAGAATACGCCCCAACATAGTACCCATACTAAACTGCTCACAAATTCCTTCAGTGATTCCGATATAAGGGGCACTCTTAAATTGATTCATCTGCTTTATTCAGATCTTCCAGTACACGATTCTTTATATCTTCTGGCAGGGGAGCTTGAGGCCCCTTTGACGAATAAAATTTTCCTAGCTCCAGAAATGCTCGCTCAAGGGCTAAATATGAGTCCTGCAAAAGTGTCCATAACCACGAATAAGAACGGTGGAAATTCAGTATCCAATAGCATTTTTCCAATCCCGTACAGTTTTTCATTGAAGGATCCAAAACAACGATGACCGTGGGAAGATTAAATGTTCCTATACTAAAAACAAATTAAAGGACACAGCATTTAGAAAGAAATAACTCGCCTCAGTCTCAACAACTTTCGAACCCCGCCAATTTTGCAAATACTCACGGATAGCCTCCTTGGCTGAATCTGCATTCCTTCTGAACTTAGCACCGTCATTTGAGTCCTGAGTGAAGGATTCCCGCAAATTTTTCACGACCTCTCTCACACTCTTCACATACTTCTTAGGCAGCTTTTTCCCGGACTTCGTCAATTGGTCAGGGTCGAACAGTTCAAGCACCGCATCGACAACATTACCGCCTTCCTCCTTCTTCGCATTCTCCTCGGCTAATGCAGGGCCAGTGTAATTTAGCATCTGTCCTAACATAATTGAGCTGGCACACAATAGTGCAGAAGAAATGCCGTGACGTCGACTAATCATTCCACTTCTACTAGTTTCGGCAGCCTCTGAAGCGGTTTCAGATTCTTGACCCGAAATGGAAACAAACGCGTTACTCTGTTGCCTCGAAATGCACCTAATCGAACCACATGGCGCCCCTGCTCCAGTAGAATCAAAGTCGAACCCCCAGAACACCGAATTCATTACCAAAAGCAATTGTGGATAGAGACAAGAAGACAAGACAGAAATTCTGGTAACAGGAAAAGAAACAAAAAGGAAAAAAAAACACTCACGAGATCTCAGGAGACTTTGAGTTCCCCTTGAAGCCGCAGGAATAGAGAACACCGCGATGTCAAGTGACTGCAGCGCCATGGCCTTCCTCCGCTGCAATCCCTCCCGAACTCACATACGACTTTCCCGCCGCTAAACAATCTCAAAGCCCGCACATAAAACGAATGCGCCAACGAATCCTAGACAAAAGAATTACAAGGATTACATGGAAATGGTGACACAATAGAAGATCTGAGCTGAACTGAACTGAGCTGAGATTGGATTCTCCCTCCCTCAACTCGGCTCGGCACTTCGACGCCGAAATCCCTTTGAGCTGGTGGAGACGCGCCTGGAAGTTGCAGCCGTCCATTCGAACTGCTCTGTGGATGAAAACATTCGTCCGATGGATGTGTGGATGGATGTGTGGATGGAAGGATGCCGTTCGTGCTGCGGATCTGTTCACCCAATCGATTCTTCGGAAGGTGTGGATGATCCACGGTTGTGGGTCTCCTCCGATGAGTAACTTGGGTTCCGAGGAAGGGGTTCCGTCAGTTTTGTGTGGTGGTAGGAATTTTGTAGTGTGATGTTTCAAACCTCGTTATGAAGATTGTATGATATATTGTGCAATTTATTAACCTTGTAGCCTTTGTTAATTCGGAAAGCTGTACTTTTTTCTGTGTCAGGTGGTCAAAATAACAATAACAATACTGGTGATGTAATTGTTGGATTCATGCAGCTTGAATTCATGCTTACCTGTGCTGAATTTTTTATAATCAAGAATTAAACCTCATTTTCTATTGTGATATAAAATAAATTTCCTAAAAATCAGTGGTTTGTTTTATTTTGCTTTATTCCGATGTCACAAAAATCAAGTTGATCATATTTAGCACCGTAATTGAAATTTAAGTATAACAAAGTATTGTAAATATTTATTCATTTTTACAGTAATTTTCTAGACAACATGATTGTATATATATATAATATATATAATATTATATATATATATAATATATAATATTATATATATATATATATATATTGTTAATTTATAGACCTGAAAATCTAAAATTATTATTTGTTTAAGATAGTGATGATTATAAAATAAGTGAGTGATTTAAGCAAATCACATTGCCTAAATTTTAAAGCTATATATATATATATATATATATACACATATGCACACACAAACAACACGTCCAAAAAGGAAAAAAAGTGCATGACAATTTTGCATATGACAAAATCGGGATTCAAATTCCCATGTGATTACACTTTAAAAAAACATTAAAACAAAACACATCACTGATGCATCCAAAAGATCAATAATCACATGATTACAAGCTTCAGGTGAGTCTTTGTTTTTTTACAACAAACCAACAATGAATTTTTAGGTGAAAGAAAGTACGATACAGTAGAAAAATTAAAATTATAACAAAGCCTTTAAATTTAAATTTATTTTCATGACCAACAACAAATACACACACACTGACAGACATTCATTTTCCACTGTAATAAAAAGTTCATTTTACTTTTCCACTATAATAAAAAATCATGTAAAAATAGAGGCAAAATTGGGTTCATGTATTTGGAATGAAGGGAAGGGATAAGAGGTGGATTCCAATTACAACAACGGCTTTCTATTTAAAAGGAAAAAGGACAATTAATTTTCATAAATTTCTCTTCTCCTCCAGAGGGACTTACTAACTTACTAACTTAGCATCCAACTGTGCGGGGAACTCACGCTCCCCAGAAATAGAAGGTGTTAAGGGACTAAAGGACAATTATAGCTCCCCTGCCTCCCCCCCCCGTACAGGGAGGGGATCGCGTACCCGTGGTGGGAACGGTCGTGCCCCAGAGAGATTACAGGTTTGAGTTTCAAGTTTCCAGTCTACAGTGTCGAACTGCGAGTCGTCGTCGTCGCGCACGGTCCTCTGCTTTCCTCGGATGGTACGTTGCTGCCGCCTGTCTGGTTTTCCCGAAATCTGCGATGCTTGGCCTCCGCTTTCCGATTTGGCTTCGTGGTGCTGGATTCCGGAGCTGTCGGTGGATCCAAGCTTGGCCCGATTTGGTTCAGTATTGAGGCGAGGAGGATCTGTTTAGTGAGTGCTGTTCGAGTTCGAGGTTTTCGTGGTTTCTCTCCGTTGCGGCGTCTATGAGCGCGAGCAAGGTTTGTCAGTGCCAATCCCAGCTCTACGTTGATTTTGTTCTGTGCTGGCGTTTCGCTTCCGGATTAGGAAGCAGGCGATCTGTTCAATTTGTGTGGGTCTGTTGCCTTAATCTTCTGTTTGGTGATCAATGTGCATCGGTTTTTGTGAAGCGCCTGTTTCTGTATTCTTGGTTGATTTATTATTTCATCAATTTCTGAATATTTGGCCTATTTTTTAAAATTTCCGGGGTGCCATTTTCGCAAGCCTTGAAGTGTGGTTTTTCGGGGACTTGCAATATCTTTTAGGAATATCACTGTTTCTCTCCTCTCAGTGCGAAGGGCTTGCTATTTTTTGACCATTATCTTGATAGTATAGAAGTTGATACGTTATGAATAGCTCTGTTTAGAACTCTCTTCTTGCTTGTCAATTTGAGAGCTAATGAATGTGCTTCACAATGTTGCATCTGAAGCTTCGTGCTTTTCATTACAATTGTTGAACCTGCTCCTTAATTGGACTTAATCATCCTGGTGCTGTAGTGTAGGTTTTTATGCAGAGTAGTTCTTTCTGGTCTACTGCCAAGTGCGGAGTTTAAATGTTCCCTCTTGTTGTCACTTACATTTACGTCAGATAGAGCAGTCAGAGCCTTGCTTTACTTCCTTGAGAAACCCGCATTCGAGATGAATCATCTCTGTTAAGAAAGTCAGCACCGATGATCGTCCTTAATACGTGTGATTTGGGTGCAGACACGCAAATACATGTCAATGTAAAACGGTGGCGCTTGGTTAACATCATCTTCTTTGTCTCCGCTTGTTATCAAATTTCATCCCTCAGGTCTGGTCGATTTTGTGTTAGCTTGGTCGCATGAATTTTATGCTGTTTAATTTGCAAATGTTCCATCTATTACTCGAAGTTTGAAAAGTTTAAACACAGGGTGCAGGGACAAGACAAACGACAAGTTTGGACGAAATCAACTTCTCTTTGTTGATCACATCAAACTTTTCCAACATCCAACCTCAACCATCTCTAGTTTAAGACGTCCGTTTACATGGTACTTGAAGAAAATTGGCGTGTAGGCGGGCAGGAGTTGGGGTTCATATTGAGCAACCATGAACCGGGGGGTCTTGGGAACAGGGCCCGATGGCAACAAAAGAAAACGGCCCGACGCACAGGCAGCCTACATCACCAGCATGATGCATGGCAACCCGAAGCTTCTGCTCTCAGAATCCCCTCTATTTGCGGGCCTCACACAGCACCAACTACCGTTTACAGTCTACCCAATTAAAGTATCTCCCGATGTTCAATATCAAGCCCGCATCCGTCTTGTATTTCCGGTACGCTTAGTAACAAGTTTTTGTCCTTGCTGTTTTAGCATGGCTTGGTTATTGTATTCTTAGCAATTCTATCAATGACAAATGATAGCTGAACATAACTGATGAAAGGTTACATTTTTTAAACTCCTGTATTATATGAGTTGAAAAGTCGAGATAGGCCGGTGTTAGTACTAAGATGTAGCTAAGTCAGAACATTCTCCTGGTCCTGGTCAGGATGGCAGGGAATCATTTGGGATTGGAGTTGCTCGAACCAAGAAAGAGTCAGAAAGAGTTGCTGCGATCGATGCTTGCCAGCAGTTACAAGTAAGCAGAAACTCATCGTTCGAGAGAAAAATCTACATCTTTCCTACGTGACCCAGTTAGTTATTCGACGCCTTATGAAGACTGGTTCTTATCGCTGCATGTAATAGACACGCTAACGTGAAAGTGTAATGCAGGATAGAGGTCTTCTTGTAGGGGTGAAGAAGAGCAGTACAGCAAGTGATGGATGGGGTGACAATCCCAAGAATACTCTAGTAACTAGCGTAGCCTTCCGGGATGTTTGCTGTGGGGGAAACGCCCGAGCTTTGCCGATTACCCTCCGCTCCTCTGGTCCTGACCATGCTAAAGTACGTCGTTGAATTCCTTTCTCAGAGAAGACTCTTGGAACCTCTTTCAGACTGTCATCGGTTAACGTTTCTACGTTGAGATCAAATCCATTGAACAAAAATATCAGCTTTAGAGATGCTGTGAGGGCTTTAGTTCTCACAAAAGAGCAGAAATACAAGGATGCTTATTACTTTCTGACTCTTACCAATCAGTATCGCAATTGATATTCTTAGTCTCTTAATACATTCCTGCAATGAAGCAACTTTAATTTAATTTAATTTTTTTTTTGATGTTTTAAACTTTTTTTTAATTTTTTTTAATTTTTTAATTTTTATCGTCCCATTGTTTTAAAGTCCGCATGACAATGTATTAATTTACGAAGTATGGGGGTCTGTCCGGGTAATCAGACTTTTGTGGCAGAGTTGACAGTGCCATTGAGGAACAAAGGGGAAGTTTTTGTAGCGGTGGGTCAAGGCCCTAACAAAGCTGAAGCGGAGCGCGCGTGCTGTACTGCAGCTTGTGCGAAACTTTATGATGTTGGATTGCTTCAGAAGCCTAATGACAAAGGGTATAGTCCGCCATTTACCGCCGTCCCTGCTTCCAACAAAGCTGCGCATAATCAACAGGTAAGCTTTGTTTTGAATGTCACGAGTTTCATCCACTTTCATAGTTCTGCAAGTTCTTTGCAGCCGTTTCTGGAAAGCCAACTTGTGGTTGAAGCTTAATAAGTTAACATCTCGATGTTTTGAACAACCTGCACACCACGAGTTACTTAGGCTACCATGGATCAGTGCTCAATTTCTTTGATTTATCCTGTAGGCTACTGTGACTTGTTAAAGTCATCATGGCTTTCTCATTATCAGTAAAGTTCAATAGAGAATAAAAAGAAGATAGAACCGACTAGGGCAGTGCATCAAATTTAAACTTAATTACAATTAATTGAAGTTTTTGATATGCTGATATTTGTTTGAAATTCGATGATTGCAGCAAAATGAGATGCCTGCTATTGTGAGCTTACGAATTGAGGAGCTGTCAATGATGGAAGATGCATTGCAGAGACTTCACTTTGAGAATGTTAGACTCGAAAAGCAGGAGCCAGAAGCTTCAGTGAGTTTGCAGCCGCGATCCTTTGCACATAAATCGAACGACATACCGATACCGAAGGAGCAGTTAGGCACTGAGAATGCAATTCTGAGGCTAGAAGCACGTAAGAGATCAGTTTCACCGGAGTTCGCTGAGCAAAGGAGAGTCCGTCAATCCTTACCTGCATGGAGGGAGAGGCAAAAGATTGTTGGTTTTGTATCAAATCACCGCGTTGTGGTCCTGACTGGAGAGACAGGTTGTGGGAAAACCACCCAGGTCCGTAGTTTTAAACTCAAAAAAACTTTCTAGAGGTGGGGTTAGCGATGTGTAGCTGTCTTGCAGTGATGGGCTTTCTTCTTGGGATTTAGATTTGCATGCACAAACCTTTAGGACGAAATCTTGCGGTTATACTGAGTGACATTATGACCTTCACTCTCACAGGCCGAGCATATTCATGTGCTTCGCGGGTGTGGTTGCAATTTACCCCTTCTCGTTTCTTGAGGTCTACTTCATCTTCCTGTGAAATATTTTATGCCCCAGGTACCACAATATGTGTTGGAAGATGCAGAGCTTCAAGGATCAGGTGCAGAGGTGCATATTGTTGTTACACAGCCTCGCAGGATTGCAGCCATAAGGTTACGTTCATTCGGACTCATATCCTTTTATGGCCAGTTTGAAAAATGATTTGATATGAATTGGAGCTGATGTGCCCTGTATTGGTTGGCATGATGTAATTCTGCAGTGTTGCAGAGCGTGTGGCCTGGGAGCGTGGAGAGACTTTGGGGAAAAGTGTGGGTTATGCTATCCGCCTTGAAAGCTCACCACCAAGGCCTCGAGGAAGCATCCTTTATTGCACAACAGGGATCTTATTGCATCGGTTACAGGTATGCTGGATGGCATAGACGGAAGGTGGGGCCCTTTGAATTACATGAGTTGATGTGGACAAATCTTATCTTTGTAGACTGTTCTAGTTCAAAGTTTTGAGAGAAGAAAGAGAGCACCGTAGTGGAAGTCTGACTGCAAGTACTGTCGTCAGATCTATGTAGAGAGTTATTGTGAGCTGGTTCTGTTTCTGTTGACCAAAGCTCGGCTTTTGGGAAATCATAAGATTTGGCAGTTCCAGTCCAGTAGTTTTGGTTTCACCAAGTCCATATCAGCATACAGCCGTGACTGAATGTGTGATTTGGGTTTTTTCAGAGAGCGGATGGTTTGGTGGGGGTGAGCCATGTTATTATCGACGAAGTGCATGAACGAGATGTGGATACTGATTTTTTGCTTGTTGTAATTCGCGAGCTTTTGAATCATAGCCCGACCCTGCGGGTGGTAGTCATGAGTGCTACTCTGGATGCATCTATATTCACAAGGTAGGATTCTTATCATGAATGTAAAACTCTTTCGAATCTTCTCGCAATATCCAATTTCAGTCCTTTCTGAGACTATCTGTGATCACTTGAAAATGATCAAAAGTGGCGATTATACGATCAACAGCATGGATGAAGGATTACCTTGTATTTTTACTCGAGCAGCATTTAACCCCATAGTTAGATTTCTACATGACCCTATAGTTCTTGAGAGGTATATCTTCAACCATGAGGCCCAGTGGCATAGCAACCGAATGGCATTCATAAATTTTAGCCTTGATATCATTTGAATATTTTGATAAGTTTTAGATTGTTATGCAGTGTGGTTTATACTTCTGTATCTGCACATCTGTCAATGCTGACAATCATCATTACCCTTACTCCAGGTTCATGGTGTTTTCACCTCTAGAACTAACCTTTGAATCTTACTAAAATCCTCCATTTAATCCCTAGTCTTTCTCGTACCTAGCGGTGAAGTTAGTTTGACCAATCGAGTATTCCCAACGAATCATTTATCTTGATTTGAAACTACAGGTACTTTGGGGGTTGTCCTCTAGTGAACATACCAGGAATGACGCATCCTGTGAGGGTGTATAACCTGGACGATCTTCCTCAGCTAATGGGTCGATTTCATCTGCCAGCTTTGAGGCAAGCTCATGGAGGCAGCTTGGATGAGGAGGATGTGGATATAGACTTGACTGTATCTGTAATTGTGTGGATATCGCAAGTCTTTGCACAAGGTGACGGGGCCATTCTCTGCTTTTTACCTGTGAGTCTGCAGCCCAACCTCAGAACTGTGAATCGAATCTGTTCATCTGACCCAAAAAGTATGGCGTTGACTTAAATGCGGGTTGGAACGCATATGTAATGTAGAACATGTGTGAATTCATATCCTTGCCTCGAGATTGTACTTATTGTGACAATGAGGTAACTTTGTCAGGGCTGGGATACCATCACCATCGTCCGAGATCGTTTACTCAAAGTGCGTGCCAGTCGTTTCATGATGATTGTCCCACTACATTCACAACTACCTGCGGGTGAGCAACGAGCAGCATTTGCTCGTGCACCATTCGGCATGAGGAAGGTTAGGATTGCTCTTCTGATTCGCGACTACTGACAAAGAGACCAGTGCACAACCCTACCTTCTTAATTGATGATATCAACTTGGTATAAACTTTACTATTTTTCTTGTATAACTCAAGCCTGCTCCGATGTAACGTCCTGTTAACTAGCTCACAGCATCAGTGAAGAATTCAATGGCTGTATGGAAGACACTAACATCCAGCGGATTTAAATTTCGCAGGTTGTTCTGGCCACCAATATAGCAGAGACAAGTGTTACCATTGACGATGTAGTATATGTGGTGGATTCTGGCAAAATCAAAGAGAAGCAATATGACGTTTCTCGCAATTTAACCACCATGCGCGTTCAGGTGCCCAATACCTTACCTCTCTGTATGACGAAGGAGATGAGAACGACCTTGTTGCCATGATTTGAGCTATAAGATATCAGCAGTTCATGATGTTTCTACAAGCAGAGTAGAAAGTTGGAACAAGTGTGAGAAGACCTGCATTTAGTTGGAACAGATAACTCATTGTTAATGCTCATGCTCATCATCATCGCTCTTTTTGGGCAGTGGACATCCCAAGCCAGTGCTCGGCAGAGGCAAGGTAGAGCTGGGCGAGTGCAACCGGGATTTTGCTTCCAATTGTTCACGCAGACGGTACGTGGGCTCCTATTCGTATTATTTTATCAGAGATTGATCGATATCTTGTTTAATTTTGACAGAGACGGCTGCAATCTTTATGTGACTGCAGACCTTCTTGAACATGTTGGAGCACCAGATTCCGGAGATGCAGCGTGTTCCCCTTGAAGAACTCTGTTTACAGATCAAGGCTGTTTTATCTCCTAACACGGTGAGCTTATCTGCTTCGTACGTCAAGGCTCTGGTTGTTTTAATGCGGGAACGTGACGTATACAGAGAGTGTTCTCTCCACTGGAGTGTTGTCAGTCGTTTTATGAAATGTTACATGTGAAACCCTTTTTTGGTCGATGTTTGTTGTTCGGTCCTAAAGACTCTTGCTGCTCGAACAATAGAGCTTAATTTTGGTCGATGTTTGTTGTTCGGTCCTAAAGACTCTTGCTACTCGAACAATAGAGCTTAAATTTTTCAACCTGTATCTAAGCAAGCCTGTTTTGCAGATCAAGGCTTGAGTTAAAGACTTTTGGGATTTCTTGTCATACTACCTTACTTGTAAGACTATCTGTCACCACATGAAACACATAAGCACAGAAGAAGTTCATGACTAGACAGAAAGAAAAAAACGTGTACGAATGTCAATGAAGCAGAAGAATTGGTACTGAGATTGCTCTTGAAATTTCACATTTTGATATCGAGTGCTTTACTATATAAAATTGAGACAGGTGGTGGAAAAATTCGAGGCAACAGGAGTCAATTTTTCCCAAGAACTTGAAGAAACGAGAGCGGAAACGACTCGCATCGCAACTTTTTTGTCAAAGGCTATCCAGCCTCCAACAGCGTCTTCAGTGTATGCAGCGATTCAGGTCTTGAAACAGCTTGGTGCCGTTGACGAGTTCGAAAATCTCACTCCTCTGGGCAGAATTCTAGCTAAATTGACAGTGCATCCAAGATTTGGCAAAATGTTGGTTTATGGGGCCCTGCTTGGGTGCCTGGACCCCCTTCTCACTGTTGCTGCTGCAGCATGTTTCCGGGATCCCTTTGTGTCGCCACTGAATAGGCGGGAGGAGGCTGACCAAGTACGGGCAAGTTTCGGTACCGGAGTTGCCTATGGAAGTGACCAGTTGGCTCTCGTGAATGCATTTCAACAATGGAAAGCTGCGGATTTCAATAATCATGGATACTCTTTTTGCGAGGACAATTTTTTAGCCTTCATGACGATGACGCTTATTGCTGGTATAACCAACTTAACTTCTTGTGAAGACTGAAAGGTTGAAGTATGAAATGTGTATGTTTCTTCTCTAATTTCTATTTTATGTCTCTTGTCATAAAAAATCCCTTCCGTTGGAAGTCTCTCCTAAAGGACAACCTCGTTTAGAAACACTGAAGCAACCATTCACGGAAAATGTGTTTTCTCTCACAGCACACTATTTGCCTATGATGGCAGGTATGAGGACGCAGTTTGAGCGGACTCTTCTGGAATCAGGATTGTGCGAACCTTACGTGCAGTCGCCCAATCCTGTCGTGAGTGCACACCTTGCACGGTCGCTCCTTGTTGCTGGGTTGTACCCTAACATCGTTCGGTCGGAACTGTGTCGAGAGAGCAAGGGAATGAAAAATGCAACTAAACATGCCTACAGATGGAGGTTAGGGTTCTGCGGAGTGAATGGCAGGGTTTTCCTGCACCCCACTTCTGTGTTGTCAGAGAAGCATCTGAACTCCAGTTTAAGTTACTATCTCGTGTTCCAAGAAAAACTCCAAACTAGCCAAGTTTTTATTCGAGGGTGCACCCTCTTGCCACCCTTGGCAGTGGTTCTACTAGGTTGGAACGTTACTTTCATCAAGGATGTGAGCTCGGGGAGTGCACCCTCTCCAAATGGGGACTGGATGTTACTTCGAGTGGAAGGGTGGTTGAATTTCTTCATTGACCGTCGGGCAGGCCTTCTCCTGCTTCAACTCAGAGACGCATTTGATGTTGTTCTTGCACGATGGGTGAGTGGGCATGCTAGGACTGACTCAGAAAGGCAGGTCGTTGAGTGTGTGGTAACGCTACTCGAAAGTACTTGTTATGAAATGCTCGAGACCACTAGTAATCGCAAGGCCCCCATAGTTTCTCGCTAAATTGAAATTTACGTTCTCATCGGTCTGTTGCCTCCTCTCTATGGTCTATGGTTCAACAGAATTGGAGCTTGGCTTTTGTTGCGTCTGGATACTGTCATTGTCTGGAAGAAACTGTTTCAATTGAAAGTCAAGTTGTGTGATCTATTGGGTATATATTAGCAAGTTAATTATGATCACTTTTGTTGAACACCTCATGTGTGCACAGTCGTTGAAGTTTGTTTCAAATGCATTTGAGATTTTGTAAGGATTTATAAAACTTACAGGTAATGAGAGTGCGCTAGAGAAATAAATAAATATTGGTATCTAAAGGGATAAACCTATGTATGTGCATTCATCTTTTTGGTTGATAGTCAAGGTACAATGCATTGATTGGCTTTTGCTTGTTAATTTTCAAACTTGTGGATTAAATAATATTGAGAATTGATAATTTTTCTCTTTTGATTTAAATGAAATTTTTACCTTGTAGTTATGGAACGTGTTTCAAATTTGAAATTGATGGCTAACCACATTTCATGGATTGTTTTATTTATTCAAATTGTATTTAAACTTTGATATTTGATACCTGAAGTAAATTTTTTATTTTATCTTTATGAGATCTATATTAAGAATAATTATGCTCTTTTCAAGAGAAACATTAGATCTGTTGAGAAAGAATAATCTGTAATATGTAAACCTCTTATATAAATTAATAACAATTTGTAGTGGTATGTTTTTATGTAGTTAGTGCTTGCAGTAAGTACTAATTAAAAAACTTGTATTACTTGTATTCAGTAACTAAAAAAACTTGTGTTATCTCTATAGAATTGTGTTTTGTTTGTTTGTTTCTTCGTTTGTTTTGTTTCTTTTTTTGTAAATAGATTACATTTTAATATTAATTTAGAAAAATAATATTCTTGAAAACTTTAACATTTCAAATGTTAAATAATATTTGATTTAAAAACTAAATGATACAATTACAAGGATAAAAATTTATCTTAAAATCATAGAATGTTTACATAATTCTCACATAATAACTACAGTTTTTGACTTCTTTTAAAGTGTGATATTCATTAAGATTGAAAATATTTTTTGAAAAAGAATCATGCTGAAGTAATATGATTTATTAGTATTTTTTAAAATTCAATATATTATTAAATACTACAAAAGACATTGCAAGAAGAGGAATTTATTTTCTTTTGATTTTTTAGAATTATAACCAAATTTATTTAAATATGGTACAATGTGGATTAAAAAATGATATTTCTTTTTTAAAATTTTAAGTATTTTGAACAATCATATATAGATAAAAGATGTTTGATTTAGTTTTAAACTTTAAAAGAATTATAAAATATATTAATTGTTTTCTAGCCTATAAGACTTAAGCATTTGATGGTTACAAAACATTATGATATATATATGTTTATATTTAGAATAATCAAATCAAGTAGAATAAAAATGCAAGAAAATCAGCCTTTGAACTAAATAAATTATTATTATTATTATTATTATTATTATATTCTTTATTAGCTACTAAGTTGTAGAAAATAAAATACAAAGAGTCACAAATATATAGCAACTACAAAGGAATACTATAATTTATATTAGAAACATAAGGTGAGTAAAAAAAGTAAATAAACATATTTCGTTTATAATATTATTTGCAAACATTTCAAAGTTTGTCATTCTTTTAAACTCATCCTCCTAATGTTGGAACCTCTTAATTTCCAAATTGCTTGCAATTGCGACTTTTTTCTTCCAACTTGTGATGGATTGGAATTCAAGATGTGTTATGGCTACTTAATTGATTTGTTGGTTAGCATAGCATTCATATCTTGACATATTTGACATTGCTTTGATGATGAAGTACTCTAATAATATCACATTGCAATACAATAACCTATTTGTGGTATTCAAAACATCTGGAATTAAGTTTAGGATTTAAAAATGTGATATCAATGATACAATTGGTATTAATTTTTGTGTGGTATGAATCCAAATTGATATCAATGATACAATTGGTATTCTTTTATAAGATTATCTTGAATGTATGCAATGCTATGACTGCTCATAACATGGTGCATGCGGCTACTTTGGAGCTGATATCATGTAGCAGTTTTGCAGCTGCAAGTGGTGTTGGGATTTTGGGAAGGTAATCACCACCTTCAACAACTACGCGTTTCTAGGCAAATGCAATGGGTGTCTCCATCATATTTTCATTTGTCTTGAACATGATGACCATCCATTAGTCCTACTTTTATCTTAAGCAAGATCAAATCCTAGCAAACAAAGCCTTGCATCATCTATAGTTACTTGTCTAATCTTGTAACTTTAGAAAGCTCCATGCTTTTTCTTTGCACACATACCCACACTCTACTTTATAACTCATTCTTATGGATACAAAGACGACTTTTCTAATGAATTTTTTGATGTTGGAAAAAACATTATTAAAGCTTGCAATATGCACACATTAAAAATATGGGCAAAAAATAAAGAAGAAAATCCAAACTATACTATGAAACTTATATTAGATGATTTAATTTATAAGTATTTAGTAAAATAGACAATTTTTTTTATTGAGATACATGATCAACTATAAGTCATGGATCAAAAGATTGTTGAAGTTAATATAGAATACAAAGGCTTACAAATTTGAAATTCAAGTTTACATCAAATTCATAGATTTATAATAAAAGTATTTTGTATGATCTTTTTTTAAATAGTATATTTGAAATTATTAATAATTTATTTTAACATCAAAATTAAAAGATTGAATTTATATTATCAAATATCAATTAAGTATAATTTTTGTAATTACTTGTATAAATTTTTATGCAAGATATCATAACATAAACTACATGAATATTTAATATAATTTAAATATAGTAATTCTAAATTTTTCTTTTTACATATAATATTTTTTTGAAGTTGAAAATATAATTTTATATCAATAAAAATAAGAATATATTTAACAAAATTAAAAAGACTAATTTTTCTTCTTTGCAATTATTAAGTTGTAAATTCTATTTTATACCATTTGAAGAAGTTAATGAATCAATAAATCCTTTTATTATATCAATAATATATTATAATAAAATTAAAAAGTTTTTTCTATTAATTATTAATTAAAAAACCGTCATTAGAAAAATTATTCCAAATCTTAATTTATATGATTGCTAAATTTTTTTAAAAATTATCAAAATAATTAAAAAAAAGTCACTTCATTTGTTATGTTTAATCTTAAAAATTACAAAAATATGGAATTTTTTCCAAATGGAATTAGTAACTTAAAACTATTGAATATATACAATATAAAAGATTGTTTAAACTTGATATCATTGCCAAATGAATTAAAAAACCTTTCATCTTTGACTAAATTTAAGTTATTTGGTTACTTAAGCATGATATTATTGCCTAATAATTTGGCCAAATTTGTATCTTTGATATAATTTAACTTATTACATTTTCAAGCTTGATTTCATTATCAAAAGGATTGGATAATCTTACATCTTTGACTAGATTCAACTTATTTGGTTGTTCAAGCTTGACATCATTACCAAATGGATTGGATAATGTCATATCTTTGACTATATTTAATCTATATAAGTACTTAATTTAATATTACTATCAAAAAAATTGGACAATATTATACCTTTAATTATACTTAATCTGTATGGATGCTCAAGCTTGATAATAATTACCAAATATATTGAGCAACCTTACATCTTTGATTACATTAAATACTAAAGATTACTCAAGCTTGACATCATTGCCAAATAGATTGGATAACATTCCATATAACAGGGTATAAAAAAGATAATTATATAGATAGTTAAAACCATGGAAGTTTTTAGAATTGGAATTAGGTTAGTAGACCACATAGAATCCACCGTGGAACATTCTAGAAGAATTTAGCACAATTATTTAAGTTGGATTCCACCATGGAACCTTCTAAAAAAGGCTTAGGATAGTTATCTAGGTACGACTTAGCACATAAGAATATTCTAGAAAGTTGAAGGTGATAGGATAAGGTATAAATAAGACTGGGTAGGGCCTTTTGGGGCATCTAGTCAAGTATGGCTTTAGACCGTTTCTCTTAATAAAGTTTGGTTTTGCATCTTTTTCTTTAGTTCAATTCTGTTCTATTTCTAATTGCTCAATTTTTCTTTCATGTCATATTTTGTGCACTTTCGTTTAGTTTTGTTCTGGTCTGTTTTATCCTATTTTGTGATGAAGTTTTATGTAGCTGTGGAATAAAATGATCTTGGGTTTTATTTTTGAGATAGTTGGTCTTGTTTCATTGGTATCAGAGTAAGTATTAAACTATTTACTTTTTCTAGTATGTCAATAGTTATCATATAGTCCAAGATCAGTTATTGTGATCACACTAGATATTGTATTCAGGCTACTATGAACTACTCTTAAGAAGACAATTGGAAGGTGAAAATCTATTATAATAGTAGAATTTAGTAAAAAAATTACAATATGAGAGATATGGCAAAACAATCCTAGATAGAGGCTCAAATATAACATCTCTTAGATCAGATAGCTACTTTACAAGGATAAATAAAAGCCTCGAGGATAAGATAGTTGACATTTGCTAGGTTGAAATTGAATAAGCCTAGTACATAGTTTGGAACTTCAAGACATGAAGATGTATATCAATGGCTCTTCAACATGCAACAATACCTCCAACTATCTGGGGCAAATACCACTGAAAGAATTATATATGCAGCCAACTATTTGAAAGATGTGGCAACTATTTGGTATAGAATTCAAGTTCAAAGCTATAGAGTTCAGGGTAGATTTTGTGACTAGAAGGAGCTTGAGACTGAGTTTAGGAATGAATTTTAGTCCATCAATGCAAAAAAGATAGTATGCAATCAGTTGAAAAATCTTACACAGCCACGTCAATGGTAGAAAAGAAAGCCAAAGGGATAGAATGGGCAGAGCAACTCATACTAGAATATCAAGAGGTCTTTCTAATTGACCTATCTAATAGAATATCTTTTGATTGAGGTGCCTCTTTCAAATAGAATTATTGCTTGGAGCCAAACCAACAAGTTGATCAATTTATTGCCTAACACCAAAAGAACTTGAAGAACTACGATAGACATTGGATGAACTTTTGGAAAAAAGACCTCATTTGAGAAAGCACATTATTATAAGAAGCGCTTATACTTTTTGTACCTAAAAAAGA